GGGTCTCTCCCCAGTGTGACGTCTCTGATGCCGCATCAGGCTTGATTTCTCGGAAAAACATTTCCCGCATTCAAGACACTTTTCATTTTTCTCCCCTCTGTGTGTTTTCTCATGAGTCCGAAGAGTGGAACTCAGGGTGAAACATTTCCCACACTCAAAGCATTTGTAAGATTTTATTCCTGCATGAACCTTCTCATGGATCTGAAGACCTCCCGTCCGAGAAAAGCTCTTCCCACATTCCCAACACGTGTAAGGTTTCTCCCCTGTGTGAATTCTCTCATGCTTTCTGAGGGTGCCTTTTTTACTGAAAAATTTCCCACATTCCAGACACTGATAGGGTTTCTCTCCAGTGTGGGTTTTCTGATGTGTAAGAAGACTTGACTTTTGACCAAAGCATAAGTCACATTCCTCACATTTATGAGGTTTTAGTCTGGGGGGGCGTCTGAGATCTTTGGCACCTTTTCCAGAAAAGGATTTCTCACCCTCCAATCCTTGACTGGATCCGTTTGCCACATGGATCTTCCTGTGGCTCAAAAGGCCGGACCGGCGAGCAAAGGATTTCCCACATTCTGAGCATTCATGGGTTTTTTTGTGGTTTTTCAGAGTGCTACTTGTGTCTGGCGGGGGATCCGAGAGTTTCCCGCCCTCCATGAATTCTGGCGGCTGCTGCCTTGCGCTGATTTTCTACTATCTCTTGAAAGGTGACTTGCAGGTGAATCTTTGGTCAGAATTGTTTTCCTGCTGGTGGAAAAAGAAAGACGATGAGAATAATGTTTCCTTTTGACAATGGTAGAGAATTGTAGTCTTGGAAGGGACCATGAAGGTCTTCCAATCTTACCCTCTGACCAGGGCAAGGGTCCACAGTACAGCCGAGACAAAACCTCCACTGATTCCATCACCCCAGATCCCTTGGAGGCAAACTCTTTTGCTGTTCAATGACTCTATCTTTTCCTCCTTGGTTCTCGTCCTATGACGAGGAGAAAAAGAAGCCCTGAAACTTTAGGTAGGAGGAAGGCCCAGGCAAGGGATGTGGGTGTGTCTGGGGGTAGGGGAGGTCCAGGAAATCAGGCTCAGGTCACCCAGGAGTTGGGGGGTGATGAAGTGGGATGCACAGCTGCAGCCACCCCTAGATGCCTGAGCTGCCCCATCCAGACCATGGAAAGCAGCCCCGATTGACAGCAATAGCAGGGCTGGGCCTTAAGTGGAGGCCTGGGGTCACTGAACCCAGACCTGGACTCCAGCCCACTGTCACTTCAGCCCACTGTCACCTCAGCCACTGAGAAATGAAGCCTTAATCCCCACAATGGAGGCCTTTGCAGCCTTGCGCCATTCTCCAAGTCACGTGTTCCATACATGTTTCCAAGCAACCTGTCCCAAAGCATCTGTAAGCTTCTTCAGGACCTTCTTAAGTCAAATGTGGCCTGTGCCAGGACTCACAATGCCTCTCCTGCCCACTTGGTGGGCAGGTATGTAGGAAGCAGATCATAATAGTAATGGGGGACTTTAACTACCCTGACATCAACTGGGAGACAAACTCTGCACCAAGTGGAAGATCAAACAGATTCCTGACAAACCTAGCAGACAACTTTGTCTCCCCAAAAATAGAGAAAGGAACTAGGGGATTAGCCATTTGGGATCTAATTCTCACTCACAGAGATGAAATGATAGAAGGTGTTGAAGCCATAGGAACCTTGGGTGGAAGTGATCATGCAATATTGGAATTCAACATTATGGAAGCACAAGCAATAGAACACAGTCAAACTAGAGTCTTGGACTTCAAGAGAGCTAATTTCAATAAACTTAGAGAGGGTTTGGAAAGAATTCCATGGATGAAAATCCTCCAGGGGAAAACAGCTCAAGAAGCTTGGGAAATTTTGAAAGTGAGATAATAAAAGCCCAGTCCAGCACAATACCAACAAAGAAGAAAAATAACAGCTCTCAAAAGAAACCAGCATAGCTGCATAAAGAACTCTCTGATAAATTGAAAGATAAAAAGGACAAGTATAGAAAGTAGAAAGAGGGGCACATAACTAAGTTAGAATATCAGCAAATAGCCCGAGCCTGCAAAGATGAAGTGAGGAAAGCTAAGGCTCAAAATGAACTAAGGCTTGCGACCAAAGTCAAAAATAACAAAAAAGCTTCTTTCAACATGTAAAAAACAAGAAAAAAGTGAAGGAAATGATTGGTCCATTAGTGGGTGAAAGTGGCAAGAAGGTGACAAGCAACAGGGAGAAAGCAGAACTATTTAACTCGTTTTTTGCATCTGTCTTTACATAAAGGGAAAAAACAGACCAACCTACCAAAAATAATGCCATAAAAAACAGAATAGAAACACAAGTTAAGATAGGCAAGAAAATGGTAAGTGAGCACCTGTCCAGCCTAGACGAGTTCAAATCGCCAGGACCAGATGGATTACACCCCAAGGTTCTCAAGTAATTGGCAGATGTGATCTCAGAACCACTGAACTATATTTTTCAAAGATCCTGGAGCACTGGGGAACTACTGGAGGACTGGAAAAGAGCTGATGTAGTTCCCATCTTCAAAAAAGGAAAAAAAAATGGATCCAGGAAATTACAGACCTATTAGCCTGACCTCAATACCTGGGAAGATTCTGGAAAAGATAATCAAACAACGAATCAGCGAACACCTAGAGGCAAACAAAGTCATTACTAAAAGCCAACATGGGTTTGTCAAAAACAGATCATGCCAGACAAATCTTATTGCATTCTTTGACCAAGTGACAAAATTAGTGGACCGGAGGAATGCTGTGGATATAATTTACTTGGACTTCAGTAAGACATTTGACAAAGTAGATCACAACCTACTACTTGACAAGATAGAAAAATGCGGGTTAGACACCATAACCACCAGATGGATCCGTAGCTGGCTGACCGGCCGTACTCAGCGTGTGGTCCTCAATGGAATCCCATCTACATGGAGGGAAGTGTGTAGTGGGGTGCCCCAGGGCTCTGTTCTGGGCCAGTGCTCTTCAACATCTTCATCAACGATTTGGACTAGGGGATAGATGGGGAACTCATCAAATTTGCAGATGACACCAAGCTGGCAGGAATAGTCAACACTCCAGAAGACAGGCTTAGGATACAGGTGGATCTGGACAGACTTGAACACTGGACGCTATCTAACAAAATAAAATTCAATGGTGAAAAAAGTAAGGTTCTACATTTAGGCAAGAAAAAAACAAATGTACAGGTATAGTATAGGGGGTACCTTGCTCAATAGTAGTAACTGTGAGAGGGATCTCGGAGTCCTAGTGGACAATCATTTAAATATGAGCCAGCAGTGTGCTGCAGCTGCCAAAAAGGCCAACACAGTGCTAAGCTGCATTAACAGAGGGATAGAATCAAGATCGTGTGAAGTATTAATATCACTTTACAGTGTTTCCCTAAGGCACCATATGTTCCCAGGTTGGTTAAGATATTGGGTGTTTCCTTTGCTGTCCTTTTATGACCTTGCATTCATGGTTCTGCAAGTGGCCAGAGATAGCGAGACCATCTGTACGTATTCACCATTGCTACTGTCCCCTAAGTCCATGTCAACAGGACAATCACTTAAATATGAGCCAGCAGTGTGCTTCAGCTGCCAAAAAAGCCAACACAGTGCTAGGCTGCATTAACAGAGGGACAGAATCAAGATCACGTGAAGTATTAATACCACTTTACAATGCCTTGGTAAGGCCACACTTGGAATACTGCATCCAGTTTTGGTCACCATGACGTAAAAAAGATATTGAGACTCTAGAAAGAGTACAGAAAAGAGCAACAAAGATGATTAGGGGACTGGAGGCTAAAGCATATAAGGAACAGTTGCTGTAACTGGATATGTCTAGTTTAACGAAGAGAAGGACAAGGGGGGGGGGTCACGATAGCAGTGTTCCAGTATCTCAGGGGCTACCCCAAAGAAGAGGGAGTCAGGCTATTCTACAAAGCGCCTGAAGGCAGAACAAAAAGCAATGGATGGAAACTAATCAAAGAGATAAGCAACCTAGAACTAAGGAGAAACTTTTTCTGAGAGTGAGAACAATTAACCAGTGGAACAACCTGCCTCCAGAAGCAGTGAAAGTTCCAACACTGGAAGTTTGTAAGAAGAGACTGGACAGCCATTTGTCCGAAATGGTATAGGGTTTCCTGCCTGAGCAGGGGTTTGGACTAGATTACCTCCAAGGTCCCTTCCAACTTTATTATTATTATTACTACTACTACTACTATTACTACTACTACTACTACTACTACTACTACTACTACTTCAGGCAACCCCACATTCCTATCTGGGACTCATCTGCTCAACGACATGTGAAATTGCTTAACAGCCATAACCTCAGGAGTGGAGGATTGCAGTAACTGAGCCAACTCTCACGTGACATCATAATAACTTTTGCACTTATGAGCTCCATCCCATCATGACTTCTTGATTCCTGCTTCCTTGCAAGACAATGTCCTTGCAAGACATTTTTTTATGTTTTATAAAATATTACAAAAAAGGAAAAAAATAGATCCAGGAAACTGCAGACCAATCAGCCTGATATCAATACCTGGGAAGATCCTGGACAAGATGATCAAGCAAGGAATCTGCGAAAGCCTAGGAAAAAAATTACTAGAAGCCAACATGGGTTTGTCAAAAACAGATTATGCCAGAAAAAACCTATTGCATTCTTTGTCAAAGTGATTAAAATAGTGGAATAGTGAAATTCAATGGATATACTATACTTGGACTTCAGTGAGGCATGTGACAAAGCCGATCACAATCTATGTCTTGGTAACACACAAAAAGTGTGGGATAGACACCATTACCACCAAAGGAATTCATAACTGCCTTGACCAATCACACTCACCATGTAGTCCTCAATGGAGCTACATTACGGTTTCACCCAACACCTTGGGAGCAAAACACAATTTCTCTGCATTGCTCTTTTGTCCAATAAAGATTTTAAAAATATATGCTTATTCTCCAAACCAAGATTTAAACAAGATTTGTTTACTCACCTTTAAAGTTACAACTAAGAGGTCTCTGAGTCACTTGTTCCCCCTGTGGGTCAAGGTCAGGTATGGCCCTCATTGCTGACCAGTTTGATTTCTCCTTAATCCATTCGCCCTTTGTGAAGGAAGCTGCTTCTCCAACTGGACCACGATTTCCAAATTCTCTAGAACGGAGTCTGGGCCAAAGGTTGGTGGGTCCCAATCCAAGAACGCCCCCCCCCTTCTCCTCTGTGGAGCTCACGGCCACATCCTCACTGGTCTCCTGCAAAGAGAGATGAGAAAGGCTCAGATGCAGACAGTAATCTGAATATAATCCGCAAACGACTTAGAAAAGGGATGAGAATATGGAATTATTTGTTGAGGATATAAAATAATGGATATAGAATTGTGATTCGAGATCTTGATGAGCCAAAAGGGAAGAAACCAGCAAGATGAAGTCCAACAGGGACCAATGCAGAGTTGTGAGTAGGAAAACTTAAGGGAATTTGAGAGAGATCAGATGGGGCAGAGCATGTGTGGAAAGGGCTGCTCTTTCCTGCTCTTTTTGGAGGCTGCAAGGGCCACAAAAATTCCAGGCAGGCATTTTGAAAAATATTTACAATTAGGAAAGGCAGCCTTTTGGGGATCGGCTTGTTTTATGACCTGCTCACTAGACCAGCCACAAAACTTCCTTGGTGCTTTGAAAAAGATCCACCAAGATGGGGCTGCCACATCACAGCCTCTTCAGGGCAAAACAAGGAAAATATAAAGTTGAGAAATTCGTCCCAGCTTTTTAAGGCGGAAGCAAAGTAAACATTACCATCAAAACAAAGGGCTTTATTTTTAGCTTTTTACACTGAGCTCAAAGAAAGAGGAACTCTTGGGGGTTAAGAAAACATGAACTGCATTCAGTTAATTTAAACCTTTTCTTTTCCCCAAACCCTCCCCTCCCTATCGCAATGAGGTCAGTCTGTGTTAATACCGCATTGCAAAGCTCCGTTTTACTCCATTTTCTGCAACTGCACTTGCGGGATATGCACGCTCCGAGACCTCCTGCTCTGGCCGACCACAGAGAGACCTTCTAGAGCAACTTCCCCAAAAGCTCCTTCCCGGATCCACCCGGAGCCCCGCGGGGAGCCTCGGAGGGGGCAGATCCAGCCCGGGGAGGGACCCCCCTTTGCCCCCCTGGAGGGAAGGAAAATCCAGCAAGCCGAAGAGCCGGATCCGCAGCTACCTTTCTCCTGGCGGGGGGGGGAAAGCTCTCCTGGCGGGAGGGGCGCCCCAAAGGCCGGAGGGGGAGCAGCCAGATCTGCCCCAGCGGGATCCAGAAGCCTCTCCCGTGGGATCCGGCGCCGATGCTGCCAGGGCGAAGCGGGACACCCGGAGGGAAGCGGAGATCCAGCGAGTGGGAGGGGAGAGGCAGGGGCGGGGATAGCCAGGAGGAGGGTCGGGAAGAAGCTCCGGGAAGATCCCTTCCGGATTCCGAAGATCCTGGAAGGGCAGCTGGGCAGGAGAGAACGGAAGGAGGCGGATTGCCGGTGAATCCCCGGAGGAAGGAAGTAGGAAAGAGCCAGGAGCGCACAAGGGAATCCCCCCCCCCAGTCCCTTCGAGGAGGGCTGGGAGTTTGTGGAGCCTCTGAGGAAGGAGATGGAGGGGCTGGCCCGGGGTCCCTTCCCGGGTGGGGGCTCCGTGGCAGTGTGGGGGGGGGAAGATGCAGAAGCCGAGTCGCAAACCGCCTTTACCCCCCTCCCCCCCGCCATCCATCCCCCTCTGCCTTTCCCAGCCTATGGATCCTTCCAGGTATTTTGGGGGGAGGGGGTCTCTACCGGCACCCCTTCCTCCACACCCGGCGCCGGATGTTTCGCAGGTTCGCCCCCTCTTCCCACGCTTCCTCCCAAACCATCATCCTGTGGGGGTGGCGGGTAATAGTAATAGTAGTAAAGTTGGAAGGGACCTTGGAGGTCATCTAGTCCAACCCCCTGCTCAGGCAGAAAACCCTACATCATTTCAGACAAAGGGCTGTCCAGTCTCTTCTTAAAAACTTCCAGTGTTGGAGCATTCACTGCTTCTGGAGGCAGGCTGTTCCACTGATTAATTGTTCTCACTGTCAGGAAGTTTCTCCTTAGTTCTAGGTTGCTTCTCTCCTGGATCAGTTTCCACCCGTTGCTTCTTGTCCTGCCTTCAGATGCTTTGGAAAATAGCTTGACTCCCTCTTCTTTGGGCAGCCCCTGAGATATTGGAACATGCTGCAGTATAGTGGAAATACTTTTATTAAGGCTGCACAATGGATTGAAACGTTTTTCAGAAAAATCCCACTCTAGAAGCTTATGGACTTTCATACAGTTCCCACAGAAACAAAACATCCATGAAACCTTAAAGCAGCGGTTCTCAACCTATGGGTCGCAACCCCATTTGGGGTCAATCGACCATTTCATGGGGGTCACCAAGCAAGGCTGTCCGCCATTTTTTACCCTTTTCCGGCAGGTGCCTTACCTCCCATGGGCTGGGCCAGCTGGTGGCCCAGCCGGTGGTCGGCCTGCTCCATCTCTGCCACTTGCCAGCTACGCCTCGGCCGGCGTAGGGGGCGGCACCATGCATGCGTGGCACTCCCGGGCAGGGAAGGTCCTTGACTTACAACCTGTTGGGTAGTCCTCGACTTACTACCGGTTTAGTTCCTCAACTTACGACCGGTTGGGGGTTGCGGCATTAAAAAGGTTGAGAACCACTGCCTTAAAGGTTTTACTTTACAATCCTAAAAGAGAATCTTCTGTTCGATTTAAGAGCTGGCAATCCGGGTCTCTTCCACTGTGAATAGGAGAGGACGCAGGGTGGATAAGGGGCCAAAGAGACCCTGGGGCTTAAGTGGCATCTGAAGGATATTTTCTCCCTCTAAATCACAACATTTTTTAAAAAAATAACACCCAGGCCAGGGAACTTTTTTCTCACTTCACCACAATTAGGAACTGCTTTGTGTTTTTTTGAAAAGATTTCAGGATAAAACATTAAAATTTTTAGGCCTCCCCTCTGTGGGGACTCATGAATGTATGGGAACAATTCTCTCATTTCAAGGAACAGATTTTCCACACACCAAACTGATGGGGTTTGTCACCCGGAAAGAGTGTCCAGTAGTCCGAGCACCTGGAGGGTTTCTCTTCAGGGCATTTTTACCTGCAGACCCAGGTAGACATTCCAGGAAAATATTTCACGCACACCAAACGCACAATTTCTTGTGGATTCTTCAAGGCCTCCTGAAGTCTCAGTGAGGTATTTTACAGTATTCCAAGCATTTACACAACAGACTCCCTTTTGCGAATTATCCAGGGTTTATCAAGGTTTCATTACAGGTAAACCTCAACTTGCAGCAAGCATTATCAGTCCATAAACTACTTCTGACCACTGTAAAATGTTGCCCCTCCCCCCAGGTTATCTGACCACATTGTGAGCACTTGGCAACCGGCTGGCTTTTCTCACCAGTTCCACGATAGTGCCTCCATCAGATCACAATTTGCAGGGGGTTTGCTATTTTTGCAGAAAATACAAATTTGGAAGAATGGCTTTATACTTAGGACTGCTTATTGCTTATTGGCCACAAAAAAAATCCCATAAAATCAGATCCTGTCTTATGGGTACTCCAACAGACGACTGTGTAAACCTATAATTGGTTAATTGATGTTACCTGGCACTGATATTGTTACCTAGTTGGGTAATGAAACGTCTGCAAGGAAACCACCAAGCTCAGAGGACACCAAGGTCCCCACACCAGCTCTGGCCAAAGAGCCCCTTGTTGTCTCAGTGCAATGAGCTTCTCATCCCTCCATCAGTTGAGAGGGAACCTCATCCATTCCTGGACTGGACTGTAGCTGTCAATCAAAGAAGGGATCTCCTAGGGAGCATTAAACCTTGGCTTTCTGCAGCCTTCATCCACCACCTCCCTATCCAACCCTCAGGGATGGGGGCAGGAAAGGGCTTTGACCATTGGTTAATAAAGGCAGCTTCTCTGCTGTGGACCACTCGCTTGTGTTTCATCTTTCACGGTGGGAACCAACCAGTCAGGGACACTTCAAAGTCGTCGCAGGATGGAAGCAGTTCCTAGTAAGGCCGCCTTTTGCAATTGACTAATGGCAAATTAATAATAATAATAATTATTATTATTATTTATTATATTCCTTTTTCAGGCTTTCTTGTTTAGGGACTCAGTTCAGAGTGCCAGTCAGCAGCAATGATCTTCAGTTACTACTGCTAGGAGACTTTACTGATCTTCCCTCCTAAGTGGATGGCCCATATTTCATTTAAGGCCTGGTGCGGGGGTTACATGATGACCGTCCTGGGAATTTAAATTGGGCGGGGGTCTCTTAAGACCATGTGCGTAGTGGGGGGGCGGAGGGTTTCTGCAGAGTCTCACCTTAATTCCAGGTTGCTTCTCTCTTTGATCAGTTTCCAACCATTGTTTCTCGTCCCTCCCTCTGGTGCTCTGGTGCAGACCCCGGCCCCCTCTGCCTTGTGGCGGCCCCTCAGATACGGGAACTATGCTATCGTGTCCGAGCCGAATCTCCCCAAGGAAAACCGGGCAAGCTGAAGAGGCGGATCCGCAGCTACCTTTCTCCTGGCGGGGGGGGGGAAGCTCTCCTGGCGGGAGGGGCGCCCCAAAGGCCGGAGGGGGAGCAGCCCGAACTGCCCCGAGCGGGATCCAGGAGCCTCTCCCGAGGGATCCGGCGCCGATCCTGCCAGGGCGAAGTGGGACACGGGGAGGGGAGCGGAGATCCAGCGAGTGGGAGGGCGGGGGCGGGGCTTCTGCTCTCCTCTCGGGCTCCGACTTGTGGCTCCTCCCCCTCCCTGCATTCACCAGGCGGGACTCCCTGTTCCTCCGCTGGGCGTCCGCCTCCGGGGTTCCTCTGCCCATGCGAAGAGTGCCCCGCTGTGCGCGGGCGGGGCTCCCTCCTGCTCCAGCATCTGGGCGGAAGCTGAAGCTCCGCGATGGCCGCGAGATAGTCCAGGAGGGACTTGCGAGGATTGCGGCGTTTCCCGCAGGCTGGAGAAGAGGGCGGGGACGGGATGCGGACCCCGAGGAAGAGCCGCTCCCGGGGGGGGGGGGGCGGAAGAAGGCAGGGGCCGCCCCAGACAGCCCGGGGCCCCCTCGACGGCTGAGACGGGGGCAGAAGGAGAAGCGGGGCAGGGTCCTCCGTGCAGCCGAGGTTGGGGGAGCGCCAGGGGGAGAGCCGGGAAGAATCCCCGGGCGGATCCTTTCTAGTGGATCCAAAGATCCCCAAAGTGGATCTAGGTAGCTGCTCCCGCCCCCCTCAATCTCTCTCTGCCTTTTCTAGCCTATGGATCCCTCCAGGTGTTTTTTTGGGGGGGGGGTCTCTACCGGCATGCCTCCTCCACGGATCTTCGCCCAAGTGCAGTTTCCCCGCCTTTTCCCTCGCTTCCTCCCAAACCATCATCCTCTCCTGTCCGGGCGGGGATCACAAGAATCTTCAGCTGATCCCTTCTGGCCACCCGAAAGATTTCTGATGAAGGCACCCGAGTCTCTCGTCCATGGAGGGCTGCTCTTTATGTCCATTTTCCAACGTTTATTGTCTCTCTGGTCCCAGATGCTGCAGAAGCGAAAATTGGACTTTGAAGCAGGACAGGAAGAGGGTGGACAGGTCTTGAACTTTGGTGTTGGGGAAAACTCCTGAGATTACCACGGACAATCAAGAAAACAGACAAATGGATCACACAAAATAAACCAACCGGAATTCTTACTCCGGGAATAAATAGACCAGGCTCAAACTATCATCAATCAGAGATAGTCTGGAACAATGTTTGCTTTAAGAAGACTCTGATGCTGAGAAAGATGGAGGGAGTGAGAAGAAGAGGGCAACCAGGGGGGGCTATCCAGGCAGTGGCGATAGGGGATCCATTCGGGGACCTGAAGGATCCAGTTGGGGATAGAGATCATTCTGGAGAAGATTCAGCGTGCAGTTGGTAAGAGTCGACACAAACTTGATGGCACAGAATAACCAAAACCTTTGGCCCGTTTCATCGTACAGGTGGTCCTCATCTTACGACCACAATAGAACCCAAAATTTCTGCTGACAGGCAAGACAGTAAAGTGAGTTTTGCCCCATTTTTAGGACCTTTCTTGCCAAAGTTGTTAAGTGAATCACTGCACTTGTTAAGATAGCGACACGGTTGTTAAATGGATCTGGCTTCCCCTTGACTTTGCTTGTCAGAAAGTCGCAAAAAGTGACCACACAACCCTAGGACTCTCCCACCGTCACAAAGAGGAGTCAGCTGCCAATCGTCTAAATTTTGATCACCTGACCATTGGGATGCTGCAATGGCTATAAGTGTGAAAAATGTTGCTTTCTTCAGTGCCGTTGTAACTTTGAACAGACACTAAATGAGCTGTTGTAAGCTGCACACTTTTTAACTTGTTTTTTGTCCATTTCAATTTTTAGAAAAAGCTGATAGTTTTTAGCCATTTCACGTTCATCATTTGCACATATAGGAGTTTGGTTTCAAATTCTGTCTCCTAATAGGTTGTGTAATTCCAAGTGTCCTTTTGTCCACTTTCAATCTTTCTCTCTAGTCTACAGAGAAAAACTGTGAGAAGCTAAATCCCTCTGCTGATCTCCTGACTTCCCCTTGTATTCTCCCACGTTCCTTTTTTCTAACAACTCTCCATAGGTGACCGTTCCCCTTTGCCTGCTCTTTTCCTCTCCCATACATGGCCTTCCTCTGCCAGGGCTTTCTCGGGCACCCGCCGGGCTTACATCCCTTCCGTATTCTCAATGCATCACTTCCATCACGAGGATTGCTGAGGTTGTACCACATCAAAACCAGGCCACCCAAACTTCAGCTCCTGCTCTTGTTATATTTAAATTCTCTTATTTCTCAGCAAAACTCATTCTTTTTGTCCAAACTGAACACACTGCAAAGAAGAATTTCCTAATCAGACTATCCTCTTTTCTTTGCATCCTGAAGAGTTTTAAATTAAACTCTTGGTTTTTCCCTGAGCATATAAATCTAGATTGCTTAAGGGGTGCACCTATTATTTAGAGAGGTATTGCTTAAAACAAAAGCACCATGAAAGTAGGTAATACATTCATTTTTAATCACAGAAATTCTCCCGAACAGTTGTAATTTCTACATCTTAACACAGCCTTCTTGATTTCTTCCCATGCCTTAACATAATTATTTTGACATACAATTTGTATTTTTTTAATAATGCTCAAGTTTCTTACTGTTCCCTCATTTCTTCAAAACACTTTTTTCCCCATCAATTTTATTTGCTCTCCCATGTTCATATTTAGTTTGCCATCTTTGTCTTTCAGCTATTAAGTTTAAAACCAACAGAAAAATATTAATTTTTCCATTAACATTTTTGTTCCTTACAAAAGGTTTTCCAAAATTATCAGCAAATGCTCTTCTTTTCCCCAGGCTTCTGCCTGCTGTGCTGTAGGATATTTATTGCATGTTTCTATTTATTTCAAGAGAAAAATGGGATCTCCCTGTTATTTTAGGTGCAACGGAATCACAAGGCAATTTCCATCACCTCATATTATCTGAGGCGTCTAAACTGAGTTTCCTTCTTCTCTTCTGGATCCCAAAATCTTAATATCCAAAATGAAAAGTAAAAAAATCAGAAATAAAATTTTGATTTCTGCTGAAGCATTTGTGGAATCTCTCCTGTGTGGATACTTTGTTGTACAAAAAGCACAAGAAACTGGGACAAAAAATTGCCATACTGGTTTCGTCATTGTGAACGTTTCCCCACACCAAAAAACTCTAGGATTTCCCTTCAGGGACTGTGTGAAGTTACTGGTGAATTATAAGATGTGACGTTTCAAAAAAAATTTTCCGCATTCCTCACAACTGAAGGGGTTTTTCTCTACTGTGGACTTTCTGATGCCTTTTTAGTTGAGATTTACAATGAAAAGTTTTCTCACACTCTGCACACTTGTAAGGCGACGCCTCTGTGTGACTTCTGGTGTGTATGCCAAGTGATGAAAGGTGGGCAAAGCATTTCTCACACTCCAGGCATTTATATGGTTTCTTTCCAGTGTGGGTTCGCTGATGATTTAAAAGAGTATCTTTCCGAGAAAAACATTTACCGCACTCCGAACATTTATGGGGCTTCTCTCCTGTATGGATTCGGCTGTGGTTTCTAAGGGAATGGGAATGAGCAAATGTTCTCCCACAGTCTAAACATTTATAGTTTCTTTCCCCTGTGTGAATTTTCACATGGCTTCTAAGGTGTGATGTGGTAGAATAAAATTGTCCACATTCGATACATTGATATGGCTTCTCCCCTGTGTGGATTTTATGATGTGTCCAAAGGCTTCCCTTTCGAGCAAAACATTTCCCACATTCTAGGCATCTGTATAATTTCTCTCCTGTGTGGAGCCTCTCATGCCTTCCAAGGTTTTGTTTTTGGGTAAAGCATTTCCCACACTCCCCACATTTGTATGGTTTTTCCCCTGTGTGGATTCTCTCATGAAGCTGAAGCTCTCTTTGTGTAACAAAACCTTTCCCACATTCCCCACATTGATAGGGTTTCTCCCCTTTGTGCCTCTTCTGATGCCTCTGAAGCGCAGAAGAACACATAAATCGTCTCTCACATTCTGGGCATTCATAGGGTCTCTCTCCAGTGTGACGTCTCTGATGTCGCACCAGGCTTGATTTCAAGGTGAAACATTTCCCACATTCGAGGCACTTTTCCTTTTTCTCCCCTCTGTGTGTTTTCTCATGATCTCGAAGAGTTGAACTACAAGTGAAACATTTTCCACACTCAAAGCATTTGTAAGATTTTACTCCTGCATGAATCTTCTCATGGAGCCAAAGACTTCCCGTGTGAGAAAAGCTCCTCCCACATTCCCAACACTTGTAAGGTTTCTCCCCTGTGTGAATTCTCTCATGGTTTCCCAGATGGGCTTTTTGACGGAAAAATTTCCCACATTCCAGACATTGATAAGGTTTCTGTCCACTGTGGATTTTCTGATGTGTAAGAAGGGTTGACTTTTGACCAAAGCATAAGTCACATTGCTCACATTTATGAGGTTTTAGTCTGGGGGGGGGTTTTGAGATCTTTGGGGTCTTTTCTAGAAAAGGATTTCTCATCAACCACACTTTGACTGGATTCGCTTCCCATATGGACCTTCCTGTGGGTCAAAAGGAGGGACCTGTGTGCAAAGGATTTCCCACACTCTGAGCATTCATGGGTTCTTTTGTGGTTTTCCGGAGTGCTGCCTGTGTCTGACGGGGGATCCAAAGGTTTCCCAAGCTCCGTGCTTTCTGGCACTTGCTGCCTTGGACTGAATTTCTTGATAGTTGACTTGCCGATAATTTTTTTGTCACAATGTTTTATCCGCTGTTGGAAAGAAAAAGATATGGAGATTAATATTTGCTTTTGAGAAATCACAAAAACGTAGCCTTGGAAGTGACCATGTAGGTCTTCCAGTCCCACCCTTTGCCCAAGGTTGGGTCCCAGGTATAACTGAGACAAAATATCAGGTGATGGAACCTCCACATCTCTAGGAGGGATGTCCTCAAATTATGACCACAGCTGGAACTGGAATTTCGGTCGTTCAGTGAAGCAATGGTTAGGTGACCACTTTGATCCACAACCGTAATCCCACACTCCTGGTTGCAATCATGAAGTGACCTTGAGAGTTCTTAAGTGGAGGGAGGCTCAGACAACTGGTGTTGGGGTGTCTCAGGGGTGGGGGAGGTCCTGGAGACCAGGCACAGGCCACCCATGAGTTGAGGGGCTACTGAAGTGGGATGTAAAGCTGCTGCCCCCCCTGGAAGCCTGAGCCACCCCAGCATTGATTGACAACAATACTAGGACCGCGTCTTAAGTGGACGCCTGGAGCCCTTGGCCATTTCAGCCATCTGCCACTGACGTCGGCTCACTGCTGCAACTTAGAAATGCAGCTTCAAAGCCCAGACCAGAGGCCTTTGCAGCCTCGCGCCATTCTCCAAGTCGCAGGATCCATACCGTTTCCAAGCAACGTGTCCCAAAGCATCTCTAAGCTTCTTCAAGACCCCCTTAACTCGTACGTGCCCTGTGCCAGCACTCACATGGCCTCTCCTGTCCACTTAAGGCAACCCCAGATTCCTTACCTGAGACTTTGTCTGCTTAATAACATGTGAAATTGCTTAACAACCAGGCCCACAAGAGGAGGATTGCAATATTTGAGAAGAGCAGCCCAAGTCACATCTCAATGACCGCTTCATGCAACGACCAGGATTCCGGTCCAAATTGTGGTAGTAAGTCCAGAATGAACTATAGGAATCAGGAAAAAAAATTAAGGCATCACATAAGAGAAGGAAAGAGACTTCAGGCTAGCGTAACCAAGCCATCCATTTCTGATTCCCTTTTCTTTCTTCCTTCTTCTGATTGTGCACATATGAGCTCCATCCCATCACGACTACTTGATCCTGACTTCCTCATGAAATATTTTGTATAGATTTATTTATTTATTTATTTGACTTATATACCACTTTAAGTGCAAGCACTCTCTAAGCGGTGTACACCAGTAAGCTATGTATGTATGTATGTATGTATGTATGTATGTGTGTATGTATGTATGTATGTGTGTGTATATATATATCTATGTGTGTGTATATATATATATATATATATATAGGTCTTTGGTTGTTCGGATTTTCTCCCGCATAAAATTGGAAGTGTCTTGGCGACGTTTCGACGAAGTCCCATTCGTCATCTTCAGGCTGGTGTTTTCAGCTTCATGCTTCGAGCAGCAATGTGTGGTCTTAGCTGTTTTTTCCTTTTAACTGCCAGTGGGGGTATGAACTGATTGGGTGGGAGCTTGGCTGTGTTCTGATTGGGTGGAGGTGTGTTCTGATTGGTTAGGGGCGTGGCTGTGCTCTGATTGGCTGGGGGGTTGGCTGTGCTCTGATTGGCTGGGGGAGTGTTCTGTTTGGTTGTGCTCAAGTTAGTCTGAGTTGCAGAGGGGTTTAAGATTTTTGGCTGCCTTGCTATTTTTTGGCTTCGCGTTTGTGGTCGTGCCTCATTTTCATGGAGGGTGTCAGTTTGCTTCATGTATGGATTGGAGGGCTTTAAAGTGTCTAATGATGCAGCTCTGGTCTGGCTTCTGGTTTGTGGTCGTGCCTCATCATCGGTGTGGCTTTGGGTGTGTTTTTTGCGTGGATGTGTGGTGCTGACATCCTGTGTGGTTTTTGTGAGTGTGGGTCTGGTATCATTTTTTGTATTAGGGAGTCGTTTGTCAATAAGGGCGGGTTTCCAAATGGCTGGTAGGCGGGAGGTATCATCTCACTTGTTCATGCTGTGTGGGCATTTTTCTATCTCGATGGCTTCTCTGATTATTCTGTTATTAAAATGTTCACTTTTGGCAATGTTTCTGGTATTTTTAAAGTCAATTTTATGTCCTGTGGCTTTAAGGTGTTGGACCAGGGAAGATGTTGGTTCCTCTTTTTTGACTGAGTTCTTATGTTCTTCAATGCGTGCACTTATTCTTCTGTTGGTTTGTCCGATGTATATGGTGGGACAAGTGGTGCATGGGATTTCGTATACTCTTGATTTTCTAATTCAATTTTATCTTTGGGGTTTCTAAGGATGGTGGATATTTTTCTGTTTGTGCAGAATGCTGTTTTGATGTTGTGTTTATGGAGGATCTTACTGATTCTGTCTGTGGTGCCTTTTATGTATGGGAGGAGTGCTTTGCCGTTTTCTTGTTCTTTGTCTTGATTTTAGTGGGGGTTTCTTTTTGATTAGGTTTGTAATCTTATTTCTATGGAATCCATTGGATGTTAGTACATTGGTGAGAGTGTGTAGTTCGGTTTTTAGGTGTTGTTCGTCAGCTAAGCGTTTTGTTCTGGAGATGAGTGTCTTGGCTACAGAGTTGATCTGTGCTGGGTGGTGGTGTGAGAGAGCGTGCAGATAGCGGTTTGTGTGTGTTTTCTTCTGGTAGATGGTGTGTCCTCGGGAGCCATTGGATTTCTTGTAGACTAAGACATCCAGGAAGGGAAGTTGGTTGTTAGCTTCTGTTTCCATGGTGAACTGTATTTTGGGGTGTAGGCTGTTGAGGTGTGTGAGGAAGTTGTCCAGTTTTTCTTTCCCATGTGGAAAGTATATATATTTACATTTCCCCCAACAATCTGGGTCCTCATTTTACCTACCCCAGAAGGATGGAAGGCTGAGTCAACCTTGAGCCGGTGAGATTTGAACTGCTGACCTGCTGAACACAGTCAGCTAAAGTGGCCTGCAGTATTGCACCCTAACTGCTGCGCCACCGCAGCTCATAGTTTATAAAATACTAAATAAAGGAAAAAAAGGGATCCAGGAAACTACAGACCAATCGGCCTCACATCAGTAACAGTATCCTGGAAAAGATAATCTAACAATGGATCTGAGAAAGCCTAGAAACAAACAAAGCTGTTACTAGAAATCAACATGGGTTTGTTAAAAACAGAGGAGAAAAAAACTTATTACATTCTTTGACCAAATGACAGAATTAATGGAACAGCAAAACTATGTGGATACCGTATACTTGGACTTCAGTAAGACGTGTGACAAAGTAGACCATGGCTGACTTTTTGGCAAGATAGAAAAATGTGGGTTAGACAGCATCACCCCCAGATGGATTCATAACTGGCTGATGAAACACACTCAACTTAAAGTCCTTAACTGAACCAAATTATGCCATCACCCAGCACCATGGGAGCAAAACTCATTTTCTCTGCATTACTGTTCTGTCAAATAAAGATCTAAAAAATATATGCTTATTCTCCAAACCAAGATTTAACCAAGATTTGTTACTCACCTTTAAAGTTGCAGCTGTGTCTGGGTCACCTGTTCCCTCTCTGAGTCCAGGCCAGGGATGACCCCCACTGCTAACCAGTTTGATTTCTCCTTAATCCATTCGTCCTTTGTGCAGGAAGCTGCTTCTCCAACTGGGCCACGATATCTAAATTCTGTAGAACAGAGTCTGGGCCAAAAGTCTGTGGGTCCCGATCCAAGGACGCCCCTTTTCTTCTGTGGCGCTCACGGCCACATCCTCACTGGTCTCCTGCAAAGAGACATGAGAAAGGCGCAGATGCTGAGCATAATCTATAAATGACCTGGAGGCAGGAGGAGAATATGGAATTATTTGTTGAGGATACAAAATCATGGAGAGAGAATCGTGATTTGAAGAAGATCTTGATGAGCCAAAAGGGAAGAAACCAGCAAGATGAAGTCCAACAGGGAGCAATGCATGGTTTTGAGTAGGAAAACTCAGTGGGAAATGAGAGAGATCAGGTGGGGCAGAGCATGTGTGAAAAGGGCTGCTCTTTCTTATGCTTTTTGCAGGCTGCAAGGCCACAAAGATTCCAGGTCTCTGGAGCTGCCTCCGATAGGCATTTTGAAAAATATTTAAAATTATGTAAGGCAGCCTTCTAGCCATCCGCTTGTTCTATTACCTGCTTTACAAGACCAGCCTCAAAACTTCCTTAGAACTTTGTATGCTTTGTAAACCTTCCACCAAGAAGAAGCTGCATCATCCCAGCCTCCTCGGGGCCAAAAAAGGAAATATTTGCTTTTTAGAGATTCCACACAGCTTTTTAAAGCAGAAGCAAGGTAAACATTCGCATAAAAACAAAAGGTTTCCCTGCTGGCCTTTTACGCTGAGCACAAAGAAGAGGATCTCACCTGGGTTAAGAAAACAGGAGCTCAATTCAGTCAATTTCAGCTTGTTTTCTTTCCCCCAATCCTTCCCCTCCCCCTTGCAATGAGGTCAATTGCCTCAATACCAGATTACAAATCTCCATAAACGTTTTAAAGCTCCGCTTACTCCATTTTTGCAACTGCGCGTGCGAGGATATGCATGCTCGGAAACCTCGTGCTCTGACGGACCACAGAGAAACCTTCTGAAAGTAAAATCCCCAAAGCTCCTTCCCGGATCCACCCGGAGCCTCAGAGGGATCCTGGGACGGGAGAGGAGGGGGCAGACCCAGCCCGGGGAGGGAGGGATCCCCTTTTGCCCCCCCCGGAAGCAAGGGAGGGATCCGCTCCCTGCAGGCGACGCCAGAGCCGAATCTCCCCAAGGAAAACCCGGCAAGCCGAAGAGGCGGATCCGCAGCTACCTTTCTCCTGGCGGGGAGGGGGGGGAAGCTCTCCTGGCGGGAGGGGCGCCCCAAAGGCCGGAGGGGGAGCAGCCAGACCTGCCCAGAATAAGACCCAGAAGCCTCTCCCGAGGGATCCGGCGGCGATCCTGCCAGGGCGAAGCGGGAAACGCCGAGGGAAGCCAAGACCCAGCGAGTGGGAGCGTGGGGGCGGGGCTTCTGCTCTCCTGGGCTCCTCCCACACCTCACAACCCCGCCCCTTTGCAGCCTCAGCTCCTCCCCCTCCCTCCCCTCCACTGCCTTCCCAGCCGGGACTCCCTTTTCCTCCGCTGGGCGCCCGCGTCCGCCGTTCCTCTGCCCATGCGAAGAGTGCCCCGCTGTGCCCTGGCGGAGCTCTCGCCTGCTCCGGCATCTGGGTGGAGACTGAAGCTCCGCCGTGGCCGCCAAGGACTCGCGGAGCGAATTGCGAGGATTGCGGCGTTTCCCGCAGGCTGGAGAAGAGGGCGGGGGGGGGAGGCGGACCCCGAGGAAGAGGAGGGGAAGGCAGGGGCCGATCCAGAGGGTGCGGGGTCCCCTCCCACGGCCGAGGTTGGGGCACCGCCTGGGGGAGGAACGGGAAGAAGCCCCGAGTGGATCCCTTCTGGATCCCGAAGATCTCCAAGTCCAGCTGCGCAGGTGGCCAGGAGAGAACAGACGGGGGGGGGGCAAAAGGAGAGTCCACCATGGCCCCCCCACCGCCCCCTCTGCCTTCCCCTCCCTTCTGCCCAGAATCGGAGAGAGGCGCTGGGGATGCTGGGTCCCTGCTTCCCTCCCTCCCCTGCTGGGCTTTGGGATGCCCCGTTTTCACACAGTGAGTTATAAACTGTTTGTAGGGCCCTGAGGGGACCCCTTCTTCCTCCCTAGCTCCCCCCCCCCAATTCGGGTCTGAGCCTGGTGCTGAGGCCGATGAAGAACACCAGACACGAATTGCAGGTTTTGTTGTCTTTTATTGAAGCGCTCCAAAAAAAAAGGGTCCTGGGTAGAAAATGCCAAGGAACCCCGAACAATAGAATTAAGAAACTTTATACATTTTTCACTAAAGCAGAAGGCGGGATAAGGAGGGCTATATAAGAAATATCATCTAATAAACATTTCAATAATAATCTAACAATTATTCTGTTGATCTCTAGCTGTCCCTATTCCTAAGCCTTAGCTAATGAAAGCTCCAGGAGTTATCTAATATTCTAATACTAGAATTATTTGCTCCAGGCCGTCCCTGTTCCTAACTTTTAGCTGAGGGCTGCAAAATGCTTAACTCTTCATTGCTTTTATCAGCTCTCTAACCAGCCGGAATTATTACAAGCTTTACACCTGCATATTTCCTGTGAATAAACTTTCTTTGTTCTTAGCAGACAAACCCCCCAATTACAGGCTTCCTTGTCTCTTTTGAAGTATATGCCTAACCTTGCTTTCTTTTGGCATCCAGCCCATCACCACATCCCTTGACACTTAACGTGGATTTGGCCCTCCTAAGGATATTTGAACTTTTGAATATATATATTAAACATATCTGAACTCTTCAAAAGCTTCATCAAATTTAGATGCCTTTAGATGCCTTCAGAACAGATCACCTGCCTGGAGGCTGCAGAGTTGTTGGATCACAATCCCCATCAAGTTCAGCCGGCAAGACGTTATGGGAGTAGAAACCCAGCCTAACTCACGTCTGGAGGATTCCATTTTAGTGAATACTAGCAAGCTTCCTTGTGGCAAGGCAATCCCTAGAACCACAAGCCAAGGAACACAACGTTAAGCGTCTGTATATAGAATGTAATTTTATTTACTCTGCGGTCCAAATATTTCTCTTTCTGAAATACGAAAATAATTAGAAGCATTTTGAGCAGCACCTTTACATGACTGCCATTTGCAAACTTCTGTGCTGCCTTCCCCAGAAAGTCAAAGGGGAAGCTGGCATGGAAGACTGCAAGTTGCTGGGTAGGTGTCTTCCACTCAGATCCCCTCCCCTGACCCCTCTGCACTTGTGCTGGGCCAGCCACTTCTGGAGTCCCTATTGCCCACATCCTGACCCACAGGACCCTCGCTCCCCCATGTCCTCTCCCTGTCCTGTCTCTCCTCTCCTGCTGCCATGCCGCGCCTCTTGACCATTTTGCCCTTTTGCACACTCACCCCTGCCATGCACACCCTTCCTGACCCTCTCCCATGATCTGGGACACTCTTTGTGCCCTCTCACACAGGGCAGGAGATGCTTTGCTGCTGTGGACCTGGGACTCACAACTTCCTGCCAGTTTCCCCACTGACTTTGTGGGAAGCCTGCAGGAAGTTGCCCCTTCAAATGAGTGTGGGATTCAACCAGGACTGTAGGGATTATCATCACTGTGCAGTGCAGTCAGGGGTTTATGAGGGCATCGTTTAAGGATGAAAAATCCAGTTCCACATGAGGCCGTAAGTGGAACACAGGCTGTGGCTTCTTTTCCTACTAGCAAGCGTGAAGATCGAGCCAAAGGAAGAATAATGAAATAAGTAAAGAAAAATTTTCCATTTATCAAACAGACAAGAATTTTAAAAGAACATTTTTAAATATTCTTAGAGTTCCTGAACATCTGAGCAGTTTCCACCCGCTTTGACTTTCTTTGCTAGAAATACAGGAGAGTGGCTAGAACTTTGCTTTCAACGTTTTTTATTTTCAGCTACAGAATTTGTCACAAATGAAGGCAAATATACATTCTATACATGTGTCAGAATCCAATTATATTTCATCTCTAGTTATCAATGATAGAAAACCCCATTTCTGCCTTCTCTGGATTCTGTCATACAAGGAAGGGAAGGGGGTGAACAAAGGGGCTTTATGGCCCTCACTTCCTTCAGTACACTTCAAAGGGATTGAATGTGGATAGCACCAAAAAGGCCTAATCATAACAAAGGGGACTATTACCTTTCATGTAGTTTTCTCTGAAGTCTCCATCCAGCCGGCAGTAAGGGAAAGGGGTGGGAAATGTAATGCCTGAGATTGTTGCTGGAAGTAGGGGGGGATTGGGTGGGGCTACTGGGAAACCCCTTAAAACCTTGCATGGGAGAGCTTGGACCCCAAGTCCTGTCTAGAACGCCTGCAACCATTTTCTCTTAATAAAGGATTCCTGTTGGAAGAATTATTCCAAGAGTTCTGTCTTCTTAAGATGCAAAGTGGGGTGGGTCCTTACAACATGTCTATATGATAATGACCTAAAAGCCAGCCACCAACACACCAGAATCCACATCCAAAAAGCCAAAAAAGTATGTAACCTCTTTATGGGCACTTGGCAACTGGATGTCTTTTAATACCACCTGCGTGATCCTACAGCCATGGGATCCCAATTGTTTTTTTGTTTTTGTTTTGCTAGTTCCTGGCATTGTTTTTGCCACTTTTTATATATATAAAAAAGACATTTAGAAGAATTTAGATTTAGATTTATTTAGAAGATTTATTTAAAATTTATTTATTTATTTAGATAAATTTAGAAGATTACAGTGACTTGCTTAATGACCAGAAATATGTCAGAAAATCAGCTCCAATATATATGGGTGCCTCGACTAACAACCGTAACAACTTATGGACCGGAAATCTGTTCCCAATTGCGACTGTAAGTCGAGACTAGCTGCACTCTGCAAAACATTATCTACTCTGCCCATCACTTATAGCTCTTTTCTCTTGTGTAATCTGTTAAGGTACTAGTGCTGCTGCTTTGTGTGCCAAACTTTCTAACACTCCCAACATAGATGTAGTTTTCTTTGATTTTGGTGTTTAAGGCTACTTGAGTAGGAAAAACATTTTTCCCAATAGTAGGATTTCCTTTCTGCCACTGTGTGATGTTCCTGGTTAATGTTAAGATGTGACTTTTGAAAAAGAAATGTTTTCAACGTTCACAGCGGAAGAGGTTTATCTCTGCTATGGACATTCGGATTCATTTTTAACTCTGATGTACAATGAAAAGCTTTCTCACACTCTACACACTTATAAGGCCTCTATCCTGTATGATATCTAGTATGTATGCGAAGTGACGAAGGATGGGCAAAACATTTCCCACACTCCAGACATTTGTATGGTTTCTCTCCAGTGTGGATCCTCTGATGGATAACAAGAGTATCTTTCCGAGAAAAACATTTATCGCACTGCGAGCATTTATGGGGCTTCTCTCCCGGATGGATTCGGCTGTGGCTTCTGAGGGAAGACGCATCAGCAAATGTTCTCCCACACTCTAAACATTTGTAGTTTTTTTCCCCTGTGTGAATTTTCACATGACTTTTAAGGGCAGAAGAGGTACGATAGAATCGTCCACATTCGTTGCATTGATGTGGCTTCTCCCCTGTGTGGGTTTTATGATGTCTCCAAAGGTCTCCCTTTTGAGTAAAACACTTTCCACATTCTACGCATCTGTACGGCTTCTCTCCTGTGTGGACTCTCTGATGCGTTCCAAGGTGTTGTTTTTGTGAAAAACATTTCCCACACTCCCCACATTTGTAAGGTTTTACCCCTGTGTGGATTCTCTGATGAATCTGAAGTTCTCCTCGGAAACTAAAACTTTTCCCACACTCCCCACATTGATAGCGTAACTCTCCTTTGTGCCTCTCCTCGTGTCTCCGAAGTTCATAAGGAAATGTAAATCGCTTCTCACATTCTGGGCATTCATAGGGTCTGTCTCTGGTGTGAAGTCTCTGATGCCGCATCAGGTGTGATTTCTGGTAAAAACATTTCCCGCATTCGAGGCACTTTTCCTTTTTCTCCCCTCTGTGTGTTTTCTCATGAGTCCGAAGACCTGAACTATGGGTGAAACATTTCCCACACTCAAAGCATTTGTACGATTTTATTCCTGCATGAACCTTCTCATGCATCCAAAGATTTGCGTTCTGAGAAAAGCTCTTTCCACATTCCCAACATTTGTAAGGCTTCTCCCCTGTGTGAATTCTCTCGTGGTTTCTGAGGGTGGCTTTCTCACAAAAATATTTCCCACATTCAAGACACTGATAGGGTTTCTCTCCAGTGTGGGTTTTCTGATGTGTAAGAAGGTGTGACTTTTGACCAAAGCATAAGTCACATTCCTCACATTTATGAGGTTTTAGTCTGGGGGGGCGTCTGAGATTTTTCATGTGTTTTCCAGAAAAGGATTTCTCACCTTCCAAAGCTTGACTGGATCCACTTCCCACATGGACCTTCGTGTGGGTCAAAAGGAGGGACCGGCGAGCAAAGGATTTCCCACACTCTGAGCATTGATGGGTTTTTTTGTGGTTTTCTGGAGTGCTGCCTGTGTCTGACGGGGCATCCAAGAGTTTCCCACCCTTCATTCTTTCTGTCGACTGCTGCCTTGTGCTGATTTTCTGTTATCTGTTGATAGTTGACTTTCAGACTGACATCAATACCTGGGAAGATCCTGGAAAAGACAATCAAGCAAAGAATCTGTGAAAACTTAGAAACCAACAAAGCTATTACTAGAACCCAACATGTGTTTGTCAAAAACAGATCACGCTAGACAAAACTTAATGCTCTCTTTGACAAAGTGACTAAAGTGGCTAAAATAGTGGAACAGTGAAGTGGACATACCCCCATGTTTCCCCGGAAAGAAGACCCACTCTTATAGTTTTTTTTGCCTCCAAAAGAGGCACCAGGTCTTATTTTCAGAGGATGTCTTACCTTAGAACAGCCGCAGCCATTTACTCACCATTAAAACTGCAGCTAAGAAATCTCTGGGTCAGTTGTTCCCCCTCTGAATCAACGCCAGGGATGACCCTCACTGCTGACCGGTTTGATTTCTCCATAACTGATTGGCAGCTCTTTTCTGCTGTTGGAACAAGAAAGAAGACGTGAACAGTATTTCCTTTTGAGAAACATAGAAAATCACAAAACTGTTGGGGACAGGATGCTGACATTTGTAAACTGCTCAGAGAGTGCCATAAAACACTTCGTTTCTAAGTTTTCTATTATCTGTGGATAGTTGGTTTGCAGGTAAATCTTTGGTCACAGCTGCTTTCCTGTTGGTGGAAGAGAAAAGAAGCAGAGAATATATTTCCTTTTCAGATTGATAGAGAATCACAAAATCTTTGCCTTGGAAGGACTTCCTGGGGTCGGCATTTCAAAAAATATTTACACCTTGTTCTGATATCAGATAACAAGACCAGGCTCACAATCTCTATAAAACTTGTCCTTTGTAAAACATCCATCAACAAGGTGCTTCTGCATCACAACCTCTTCAGGGAAAACAAGGAAGATATTGTTTGTGGAGATTCTGGCCACTTGCAGAACCATGAATGCAAGGTCATAAAAGTACAGCAAAGGAAACAGCCAATATCCTAAACCACCCAAAATGAAACATATGGTGCCTGGGGGGGGGGAACACCCAAAAGGGATCATTTCTAGCTACTTCTGCTTTCTTCCTTCTTGTCTACAGTGTTCCAGCCTTAATGGGCGAAGTCTTTATCTTATGTGTGTCAGCTTTGCTGGGTGAATTGCTTATATAATCAAAGAAGGTAGAAAAATAAGCTTTTCTGATATTTAGGGCTTTTTCTTTTTAGAGAAGCTTGTCTTTGTTCAGCTGAATAAAAACGTAACGCTTGAAGAGGTGTAAAAATGGATATGGTGTCTTATAGTCAGCTACTTAGATGGGATGGGCAAAACTGGCAGTTAAGATTACGGGAAGATTTAGCGCAAGAAAATATTATTCTTGGTTTCAATATAGGCAACTAGTAGATAAATGGAAGGTGGATTGTAAATTGGGTTTTCTTAGAGAAGATGGAAATCTTATTAAGCAAGTCAAGGATCAAAGACAAACCCACATCAAGAGAATTTATGGGGTATTAGTTGAAATGGACTCAGAAACGGAATTAATTAAAGACTGTATGATTAGATGGGCGCAGAATTTTGGTGTCCCAGTCTCATTGGATATCTGGGAAACCATTTGGGTGAGAAATGTCAAATTTACACAAGCACAGAACCTTAGGGAGAATTTTTATAAAATGTTTTATAGATGGCACCTTGATCCACAAAAAATGTCTCTTATGTACCCTGACGTACAACCCAAATGTTGGAGATGTGGTTATATGGATGCTTCCTATTATCATATTTGGTGGTCATGCAAAGAGATAAAAGCATTTTGGATCAAAATATGGTGGAATATCCAGAGAATTTTTAGAAGGAGGGTAAAATTTACTCCGCAATTATTTTTGTTGGGCATTGTTACAGATTGTGATACAAAGGAGGTTGTATTGATGTTAAATTTGATTACAGCCGCTAGGCTGTTAGTAGGACAATACTGGAAGAAGGAATCTTTGCCTACACTGCAGGAATGGTTTCTTAAAGTAGCTTATCTGGCGGAAATGGCAAAGATTTCGGCTTTCTTAAAGCAACAAACGCAAGAGAAGTTTCTTGCTGTTTGGGACAAATGGATAAAATTTATACAATTTAGATTGGGTATAAAAAAATATCATATAGCTTTTTCATAAGTTTTATTTTCATATATATATATAGATATTTTTTTTATATATATAAATATAAATTTTTTAATTTAATTTTTTATTTTTACTTGTTAATTTTTAATTAAGCCTATATTCTGCTCTGGGAAGCTCAGGGGGGGGAAGGGAGGGTGTTTGTGAGGGGTGGGGGACGGGGGGTTTTTTTTTTTATATGTAATGTTTAGTTTTTTTTGTATATGTTGTCTTTTGTTTTGTATTGTTTTTCTCTTTTTGTAAAATTTATAAAACTTTCAATAAAAAAAAAAAACGTAACGCTTAAAGGCAACTTCTGGTTTCCTGTATTTTTTATCAAGCAAAACCTCAGAACTTGCACATCAGTCCACTAGGACTCTGAGATGTCTCTCACAGTTACTACTATTGAGCAAGGTTCCCCCTAATACTGTACCTGTGCATTTGGTTTTTCTTGCCTCACTGTAGGACCTTATAATATATAGTATATAGACAAAGATTATTCATTCCTCTTTTTTTGGATTAAGCAGAAAGAAAAAGGATCTGACATGATAGCTTTGTTCCCATATTGAAGGGGCTGCCACAAGGGAGCAGAGCTTCAACCTATTCTCCAAAGCACCTGAAGGCAGGACCAGAAGCCATGGATGGAAATTAGGAGACATTTCCTGAAAGCCAGAACAATTAAGCAGAGGAACAGGCTGCCACCAGAAGTTCAGGGTGCTGCATCAGTGGAGGATTCAAAAGAGACTGGAGAAGGCTTCTCTGTAATGTTAGGGGTTCTCCCGCCTGAGCAGGGAGGTGGGCTAGAAGGCCTCAAAGATTCTTTCCAGCTCCATTATTTTGTTATTCCGGTATCCTTTTTGGGGTTGGGAGAACATGAGCTCAGTTCAGTCATAAAGAACCTGTAACACTCCAGGCCACTTTGGAGACTCGCCAGGCCTTCAGAGGCCCCTGGAAGCCCCAATGTGGAGCCTCTGATAAGCCCCCAAGGCGCTTCCTGCCCTTTCTGGAGGCGGCAAGGAATCCAGGACGTTTTCTGGCCTCCAGTGAAGCAGAGCTGTCTGGGTTTATAAGCATTGCTAAAAACATTGACAATTATGTAAGCCTTTAACAATTAATTTAAACAATTCAATGTGTTATTCCTTACAATATTGCATAATCAATAATGTACAAGCCAAGTATTTATTTAACAATGAATGGAAATAATTTATTATTCTTTGTTATAATTTTCAAAGTGGGTGGGATGGGGGGGGAGTGTTCAGCAGAGTCAAAGAGGGAATTCTGAATTTTTGACACTCAATCAGGGGCTCAATTCAATTTCTTTCCCTAACACCCCCCCTCCCCGCTGCCCCCCCCATTGAAATAAGGTCAGGCTGTGACAAGATCACATTTACAATCTTAATAAGCGCTTTAAAGCTACACTTCGCTCCCTTTTCAAACGGCACTCGAGGGAAATGGATGTTCAGAGGCTTCCTGTTCAAACCGACCAGAGAGACCTTCTGGAGCAACTTCCCCAAAAGCTCCTTCCCGGATCCACCCGGAGCCCCGCGGGGAGCCTTGGCCGGGGAGGAGGGGGCAGATCCAGCCCGGGGAGGGAGGGATCCCCTTTGCCCCCCGGAGGGAAGGAGGGATCCGCTCCCTGCAGGCGACGCCAGAGCCGAATCTCCCCAAGGAAAACCCGGCAAGCCGAAGAGGCGGATCCGCAGCTACCTTTCTCCTGGCGGGGGGGGAAGCTCTCCTGGCGGGAGGGGCGCCGCAAAGGCCGGAGGGGGAGCAGCCCGACCTGCCCCGAGCGGGATCCAGAAGCCTCTCCCGAGGGATCCGGCGCCGATCCTTCCAGGGCGAAGTGAGACACGCGGAGAGAAGCGGAGATTCAGCGAGTGGGAGGAGAGGGGCGGGGGCGGGGCTTCTACTCTCCTCCTGGGCTCCGCCCCCGCCTTACAGCCCCGCCCCTTAGCATCCTCAGAACCGCCCCCCTCCTTTCCCCTTTCCGCCTTCCCAGCCGGGACTCCCCGTTTCTCCGCTGGGCATCCCCCTCCTGGGTTCCTCTGCCCATGCGAAGAATGCACTGCTGTGCCCGGGCGGGGCTGGGTGGAAACTGAAGCTCCGCGATGGCTTTTTTTGGGGGGGGGGAGCCAGGAGCGACAGGAGCCCCCACCCCCCGGCTGGATGTTTGCGGAGCCCGACTGAGGACGGAGAGGGAGGGGCTGGTCCGGGGTCCCTTCCCCGGGGGGGGAGCCTCCCTGGGCGGGGGGGACATGCAGAAGCCGAATCCCAAAACACCTGCTCTTTCTTATGCTTTTCGCAGGCTACAAGGCCACAAAGATTCCAGGTCTCTGCAGCTGCCTCAAAGGCATTTTGAAAAATATTTAAAATTATGTAAGGCAGCCTTCTAGCCATCCGCTTGTTCTATTACCTGCTTTACAAGACCAGCCTCAAAACTTCCTTAGAACTTTGTATGCTTTGTAAACCGTCCACCAAGAAGAAGCTGCATCATCCCAGCCTCCTCGGGGCCAAAAAAGGAAAATATTGCTTTTTAGAGATTCACACAGCTTTTTAAAGCAGAAGCAAGGTAAACATTTGCATAAAACCAAATAATTTCCCTGCTGGCCTTTTAAGCTGAGCACAAAGAAGAGGATCTCACCTGGGTTAAGAAAACAGGAGCTCAATTCAGTCAATTTCAGCTTGTTTTCTTTCCCCCAATCCTTCCCCTCCGCCTTGCAATGAGGTCAATTGCCTTAACACCAGATTACAAATCTCCATAAACGTTTTAAAGCTCCGCTTACTCCATTTTTGCGACTGCGCGTGCGAGGATATGCATGCTCGGAAACCTCGTGCTCTGACGGACCACAGAGAAACCTTCTGAAAGCAAAATCCCCAAAAGCTCCTTCCCGGATCCACCCGAAAGCCCCACGGGGAGCCTTGGCCGGGCGAGGAGGAGGCAGATCCAGCCCGGGGAGGGAGGGATCCCCTTTGCCCCCCTGGAGGGAAGGAGGGATCCGCTCCCTGCAGGCGACGCCAGAGCCGAATCTCCCCAAGGAAAACCCGGCAAGCCGAAGAGGCGGATCCGCAGCTACCTTTCTCCTGGCGGGGGGGGGGAGAAGCTCTCCTGGCGGGAGGGGCGCCCCAAAGGCCGGAGGGGGAGCAGCCAGACCTCCCCGAAGTAAGACCCAGAAGGCTCTGCCGAAGGATCCGGCGCCGATCCTGCCAGGGCGAAGCGGGAAACGCCGAGGGAAGCCGAGACCCAGCGAGTGGGAGCGTGGGGGCGGGGCTTCTGCTCTCCTGGGCTCCTCCCACACCTTACAACCCCGCCCCTTCGCAGCCTCAGCTCCTCCCCCTCCCTCCCCTCCCCTGCCTTCCCAGCCGGGACTCCCTATTCTTCCGCTGAGCACCCGCGACCGCGGTTCCTCTGCCCATGCGAAGAGTGCCCCGCTGTGCCCGGGCGGAGCTCCCGCCTGCTCCGGCATCTGGCTGGAGACTGAAGCTCCGCCGTGGCCGCCAAGGACTCGCGGAGCGAATTGCGAGGATTGCGGCGTTTCCCGCAGGCTGGAGAAGAGGGCGGGGGGGGGGAGGCGGACCCCGAGGAAGAGGAGGGGAAGGCAGGGGCCGCTCCAGAGGGTGCGGGGTCCCCTCCCACGGCCGAGGTTGGGGTAGCGCCTGGGGGAGGAACGGGAAGAAGCCCCGAGCGGATCCCTTCTGGATCCCGAAGATCTCCAAGTCCAGCTGCGCAGGTGGCCAGGAGAGAACAGACGGGGGGGGGCAAAAGAGAGTCCACCCAAGGCCCCCCCACCGCCCCCTCTGCCTTCCCCTCCCTTCTGCCCAGAATCGGAGAGAGGGGCTGGGGATGCTGGGTCCCTGCTTCCCTCCCTCCCCTGCTGGGCTTCGGGATGCCCCGTTTTCACCCAGTGAGTTATAAACTGTAGGGCCCTGAGGGGACCCCTTCTTCCTCCCTAGCCCCCCCATGTTGTCCCCAATTCGGGTCTGAGCCTGGTGCTGAGGCTAATGAGGAACACCAGACACGAATTGCAAGTTTTGTTGTCTTTTATTGAAGCCCTCCAAGAAAAAAGGGTCCTGGGTAGAAAATGCCAAGGAACCCCGAACAATAGAATTAAGAAAGCTTTAGACATTTTCACTAAAGCAGAAGGCGGGATAAGGTGGGATATATAAGAAATATCTAATAAACATTTCAATAATAATCTAACAATTATTCTGTTGGTCTCTAGCCGTCCCTATTCCTAAACCTTGGCTAATGAATGCTTCAGGAGTTATCTCATACACATCCTATTTGCTCTGGGCCATCTCTTTTCCTGCAAAATGCCTAACTCTTCATTCCTTTTATCAGCTCTCTAACCAGCCAGAATTGTTACAACCTTTACACGTGCCTATTTCCTGTGAATAAGCTTTCACTTTTGAACTTTTGAATATATATTAAACTTATTTGAACTCTTCAAAAGCTTCAGCCATTATCAAATTTAGCTGCCTTTAGCTGCCTTCAGAACAGATCACCGGCCTGGAGGCTGCAGAGTTGTTGGATCACAACTCCCATCAAGTCCAGCCGGCAAGACGTTATGGGAGTAGAAACCCAGCCTAACACACATCTGGAGGATTTCATTTAGTGAATGCTAGCAAGCCTCCTTGTGGCAAGACAATCCCTGGAACCACAAGCCAAGGAACACAACGTTAAGCGCCTGTATATAGAATGTAATTTTATTTACTCTGCAGTCCAAATATTTCTCTTTCTGAAATACGAAAATAATTAGAAGCATTTAGAGCAGCACCTTTACATGACTGCCATTTGCCAACTTCTGTGCTGCCTTCCCCAGAAAGTCAAAGGGGAAGCTGGCATGGAAGACTGCAAGTCGCTGGATAGTGTCTTCCACTCAGATCCCCTCCCCTGACCCCTCTGCACTTGTGCTGGGCCAGCCACTTCTGGAGTCCCTATTGCCCACATCCTGACCCACATGATCCTCACTCCCCCATGTCCTCTCCCTGTCCTGTCTCTCCTCTCCTGCTGCCATGCCACGCCTCTTGACCATTTTGCCCTCTCGCACACTCACCCCTGCCATGCACACCCTTCCTGACCCTCTCCCATGATCTGGGACACTCTTTGTGCCCTCTCACACAGGGCAGGAGATGCTTTGCTGCTGTGGACCTGGGACTCACAACTTCCTGCCCAGTTTCCCCACTGACTCTGTGGGAAGCTTGCAGGAAGTCGCCCCATCAAATGAGTGTGGGATTCAGCCAGGACTGCAGGGATTATCATCACTGTGCCGTGCAGTCAGAGGTTTTCGACGGCATCGTTTAAGGATGGAAACTCCAGTTCCAAATGCGGCCGTAAATGGAACACAGGCTGTGGCTTCTTTTCTTGCTAGCAAGCGTGAAGATCGAGACAAAGGAAGAATAATGAAATAAGTAAAGAAGAATTTTCCATTTATCAAACAGACAAGAATTTTAAAAGAACATTTTTAAATATTCTTAGAGTTCCTGAACATCTGAGCAGTTTCCATCCACTTTGACTTTCTTTGCTAGAAATACAGGAGTGGCTAGAACTTTGCTTTCAACGTTTTTTATTTTCAGCTACAGAATTTGTCACAAATGAAGGCGAATATACATTCTATACATGTGTCAGAATCCAATTATATTTCATCTCTAGTTATCAATTATAGAAAACCTCATTTCTGCCTTCTCTGGATTCTGTCATACAAGGAAGGGAAGGGGGTGAACAAAGGGGCTTTATGGCCCTCACTTCCTTCGGTACAACTTCAAAGGGATTGAATGTGGATAGCACCAAAAAGACCTAATCAGAACAAAGGGGACTATTACCTTTCATGTAGTTTTCTCTGAAGTCTCCATCCAGCCGGCAGTAAGGAAATAGGGGGTGGGAATGTAATGCCTGAGATTGTTGCTGGAAGTAGGGGGGGATTGGGTGGGGCTACTGGGAAACCCCTTAAAACCTTGCATGGGAGAGCTTGGACCCCAAGTCCTGTCTAGAACGCCTGCAACCATTTTCTCTTAATAAAGGATTCCTGTTGGAAGAATTATTCCAAGAGTTCTGTCTTCTTAAGATGCAAAGTGGGGTGGGGCCTTACAACATGTCTATATGATAATGACCTAAAAGCCAGCCACCAACACACCAGAATCCACATTCAAAAAGCCAAAAAATGATGTAACCACTTTATGGCCACTTGGCAACCGTATGGCTTTTAATACCACCTGCGTGATCCTACAGCCATAGGATCCCAATTGTTTTTTTGTTTTTGTTTTGCTAGTTCCTGGCATTGTTTTTGCCACTTTTTATATATATATAAAAGACATTTAGAAGAATGGCTTTATACTTAGGATTACAGTGACTTGCTTAATGACCAGAAATATGTCAGAAAATCGGCTCCAATATATATGGGTGCCTCGACTAACAACCGTAACAACTTATGACCAGAAATCTGTTCCCAATTGCGACTGTAAGTCGAGACTAGCTGCACTCCGCAAAACATTATCTACTCTGCCCATCACTTATAGCTCTTTTCTCTTGTGCAATCACTCTGTTAAGGTACTAGCACTGCTGCTTTGTGTGCCAAACTTTCTAACACTCCCAACATAGATGTAGTTTTCTTTGATTTTGGTGTTTAAGGCTACTTGAGTAGGAAAAACATTTTTCCCAATAGTAGGATTTCCTTTCTGCCACTGTGTGATGTTCCTGGTTAATGTTAAGATGTGACTTTTGAAAAAGAAATGTTTTCAACGTTCACAGCGGAAGAGGTTTATCTCTGCTATGGACATTCGGATTCATTTTTAACTCTGATGTACAATGAAAAGCTTTCTCACACTCTACACACTTATAAGGCCACTATCCTGTGTGATATCTAGTATGTATGCGAAGTGACGAAGGATGGGCAAAACATTTCCCACACTCCAGACATTTGTATGGTTTCTCTCCAGTGTGGATCCTCTGATGGATAACAAGAGTATCTTTCCGAGAAAAACATTTATCGCACTGCGAGCATTTATGGGGCTTCTCTCCCGTATGGATTCGGCTGTGGCTTCTGAGGGAAGACGCATCAGCAAATGTTCTCCCACACTCTAAACATTTGTAGTTTTTTTCCCCTGTGTGAATTTTCACATGACTTTTAAGGGCAGAAGAGGTACGATAGAATCGTCCACATTCGTTGCATTGATGTGGCTTCTCCCCTGTGTGGGTTTTATGATGTCTCCAAAGGTCTCCCTTTTGAGTAAAACACTTTCCACATTCTACGCATCTGTACGGCTTCTCTCCTGTGTGGACTCTCTGATGCGTTCCAAGGTGTTGTTTTTGTGAAAAACATTTCCCACACTCCCCACATTTGTAAGGTTTTACCCCTGTGTGGATTCTCTGATGAATCTGAAGTTCTCCTCGGAAACTAAAACTTTTCCCACACTCCCCACATTGATAGCGTAACTCTCCTTTGTGCCTCTCCTCGTGTCTCCGAAGTTCATAAGGAAATGTAAATCGCTTCTCACATTCTGGGCATTCATAGGGTCTGTCTCTGGTGTGAAGTCTCTGATGCCGCATCAGGTGTGATTTCTGGTAAAAACATTTCCCGCATTCGAGGCACTTTTCCTTTTTCTCCCCTCTGTGTGTTTTCTCATGAGTCCGAAGACCTGAACTATGGGTGAAACATTTCCCACACTCAAAGCATTTGTACGATTTTATTCCTGCATGAACCTTCTCATGCATCCAAAGATTTGCGTTCTGAGAAAAGCTCTTTCCACATTCCCAACATTTGTAAGGCTTCTCCCCTGTGTGAATTCTCTCGTGGTTTCTGAGGGTGGCTTTCTCACAAAAATATTTCCCACATTCAAGACACTGATAGGGTTTCTCTCCAGTGTGGGTTTTTTGATGTGTAAGAAGGTGTGACTTTTGACCAAAGCATAAGTCACATTCCTCACATTTATGAGGTTTTAGTCTGGGGGGGCGTCTGAGATTTTTCATGTGTTTTCCAGAAAAGGATTTCTCACCTTCCAAAGCTTGACTGGATCCACTTCCCACATGGACCTTCGTGTGGGTCAAAAGGAGGGACCGGCGAGCAAAGGATTTCCCACACTCTGAGCATTGATGGGTTTTTTTGTGGTTTTCTGGAGTGCTGCCTGTGTCTGACGGGGCATCCAAGAGTTTCCCACCCTTCATTCTTTCTGTCGACTGCTGCCTTGTGCTGATTTTCTGTTATCTGTTGATAGTTGACTTTCAGACTGACATCAATACCTGGGAAGATCCTGGAAAAGACAATCAAGCAAAGAATCTGTGAAAACTTAGAAACCAACAAAGCTATTACTAGAACCCAACATGTGTTTGTCAAAAACAGATCACGCTAGACAAAACTTAATGCTCTCTTTGACAAAGTGACTAAAGTGGCTAAAATAGTGGAACAGTGAAGTGGACATACCTCCATGTTTCCCCGGAAAGAAGACCCACTCTTATAGTTTTTTTTGCCTCCAAAAGAGGCACCAGGTCTTATTTTCAGAGGATGTCTTACCTTAAAACAGCCGCAGCCATTTACTCACCATTAAAACTGCAGCTAAGAAATCTCTGGGTCAGTTGTTCCCCCTCTGAATCAACGCCAGGGATGACCCTCACTGCTGACCGGTTTGATTTCTCCATAACTGATTGGCAGCTCTTTTCTGCTGTTGGAACAAGAAAGAAGACGTGAACAGTATTTCCTTTTGAGAAACATAGAAAATCACAAAACTGTTGGGGACAGGATGCTGACATTTGTAAACTGCTCAGAGAGTGCCATAAAACACTTCGTTTCTAAGTTTTCTATTATCTGTGGATAGTTGGTTTGCAGGTAAATCTTTGGTCACAGCTGCTTTCCTGTTGGTGGAAGAGAAAAGAAGCAGAGAATATATTTCCTTTTCAGATTGATAGAGAATCACAAAATCTTTGCCTTGGAAGGACTTCCTGGGGTCGGCATTTCAAAAAATATTTACACCTTGTTCTGATATCAGATAACAAGACCAGGCTCACAATCTCTATAAAACTTGTCCTTTGTAAAACATCCATCAACAAGGTGCTTCTGCATCACAACCCCTTCAGGGAAAACAAGGAAGATATTGTTTGTGGAGATTCTGGCCACTTGCAGAACCATGAATGCAAGGTCATAAAAGTACAGCAAAGGAAACAGCCAATATCCTAAACCACCCAAAATGAAACATATGGTGCCTGGGGGGGGGGGGAAACACCCAAAAGGGATCATTTCTAGCTACTTCTGCTTTCTTCCTTCTTGTCTACAGTGTTCCAGCCTTAATGGGCGAAGTCTTTATCTTATGTGTGTCAGCTTTGCTGGGTGAATTGCTAATATAATCAAAGAAGGTAGAAAAATAAGCTTTTCTGATATTTAGGGCTTTTTCTTTTTAGAGAAGCTTGTCTTTGTTCAGCTGAATAAAAACGTAACGCTTGAAGAGGTGTAAAAATGGATATGGTGTCTTATAGTCAGCTACTTAGATGGGATGGGCAAAACTGGCAGTTAAGATTACGGGAAGATTTAGCGCAAGAAAATATTATTTATTCTTGGTTTCAATATAGGCAACTAGTAGATAAATGGAAGGTGGATTGTAAATTGGGTTTTCTTAGAGAAGATGGAAATCTTATTAAGCAAGTCAAGGATCAAAGACAAACCCACATCAAGAGAATTTATGGGGTATTAGTTGAAATGGACTCAGAAACGGAATTAATTAAAGACTGTATGATTAGATGGGCGCAGAATTTTGGTGTCCCAGTCTCATTGGATATCTGGGAAACCATTTGGGTGAGAAATGTCAAATTTACACAAGCACAGAACCTTACGGAGAATTTTTATAAAATGTTTTATAGATGGCACCTTGATCCACAAAAAATGTCTCTTATGTACCCTGACGTACAACCCAAATGTTGGAGATGTGGTTATATGGATGCTTCCTATTATCATATTTGGTGGTCATGCAAAGAGATAAAAGCATTTTGGATCAAAATATGGTGGAATATCCAGAGAATTTTTAGAAGGAGGGTAAAATTTACTCCGCAATTATTTTTGTTGGGCATTGTTACAGATTGTGATACAAAGGAGGTTGTATTGATGTTAAATTTGATTACAGCCGCTAGGCTGTTAGTAGGACAATACTGGAAGAAGGAATCTTTGCCTACACTGCAGGAATGGTTTCTTAAAGTAGCTTATCTGGCGGAAATGGCAAAGATTTCGGCTTTCTTAAAGCAACAAACGCAAGAGAAGTTTCTTGCTGTTTGGGACAAATGGATAAAATTTATACAATTTAGATTGGGTATAAAAAAATATCATATAGCTTTTTCATAAGTTTTATTTTCATATATATATATAGATATTTTTTATATATATATAAATATAAATTTTTTAATTTAATTTTTTATTTTTACTTGTTAATTTTTAATTAAGCCTATATTCTGCTCTGGGAAGCTCAGGGGGGGGAAGGGAGGGTGTTTGTGAGGGGTGGGGGACGGGGGGTTTTTTTTTTATATGTAATGTTTAGTTTTTTTTGTATATGTTGTCTTTTGTTTTGTATTGTTTTTCTCTTTTTGTAAAATTTATAAAACTTTCAATAAAAAAAAAAACGTAACGCTTGAAGGCAACTTCTGGTTTCCTGTATTTTTTATCAAGCAAAACCTCAGAACTTGCACATCAGTCCACTAGGACTCTGAGATCTCTCACAGTTACTACTATTGAGCAAGGTTCCCCCTATACTGTACCTGTGCATTTGGTTTTTCTTGCCTCAAGGTAGGACCTTATAATATATAGTATATGAACAAAGATTATTCATTCCTCTTTTTTTGGATTAAGCGGAAAGAAAAAGGATCTGACATGATAGCTTTGTTCCCATATTGAAGGGGCTGCCACAAGGGAGCAGAGCTTCAACCTATTCTCCAAAGCACCTGAAGGCAGGACCAGAAGCCATGGATGGAAATTAGGAGACATTTCCTGAAAGCCAGAACAATTAAGCAGAGGAACAGGCTGCCACCAGAAGTTCAGGGTGCTGCATCAGTGGAGGCTTCAAAAGAGACTGGAGAAGGCTTCTCTGTAATGTTAGGGGTTCTCCCGCCTGAGCAGGGAGGTGGGCTAGAAGGCCTCAAAGATTCTTTCCAGCTCCATTATTTTGTTATTCCGGTATCCTTTTTGGGGTTGGGAGAACATGAGCTCAGTTCAGTCATAAAGAACCTGTGACACTCCAGGCCACTTTGGAGACTCGCCAGGCCTTCAGAGGCCCCTGGAAGCCCCAATGTGGAGCCTCTGATAAGCCCCCAAGGCGCTTCCTGCCCTTTCTGGAGGCGGCAAGGAATCCAGGACGTTTTCTGGCCTCCAGTGAAGCAGAGCTGTCTGGGTTTATAAGCATTGCTAAAAACATTGACAATTATGTAAGCCTTTAACAATTAATTTAAACAATTCAATGTGTTATTCCTTACAATATTGCATAATCAATAATGTACAAGCCAAGTATTTATTTAACAATGAATGGAAATAATTTATTATTCTTTGTTATAATTTTCAAAGTGGGTGGGATGGGGGGGGAGTGTTCAGCAGAGTCAAAGAGGGAATTCTGAATTTTTGACACTCAATCAGGGGCTCAATTCAATTTCTTTCCCTAACACCCCCCCTCCCCGCTGCCCCCCCCATTGAAATAAGGTCAGGCTGTGACAAGATCACATTTACAATCTTAATAAGCGCTTTAAAGCTACACTTCGCTCCCTTTTCAAACGGCACTCGAGGGAAATGGATGTTCAGAGGCTTCCTGTTCAAACCGACCAGAGAGACCTTCTGGAGCAACTTCCCCAAAAGCTCCTTCCCGGATCCACCCGGAGCCCCGCGGGGAGCCTTGGCCGGGGAGGAGGGGGCAGATCCAGCCCGGGGAGGGAGGGATCCCCTTTGCCCCCCGGAGGGAAGGAGGGATCCGCTCCCTGCAGGCGACGCCAGAGCCGAATCTCCCCAAGGAAAACCCGGCAAGCCGAAGAGGCGGATCCGCAGCTACCTTTCTCCTGGCGGGGGGGGAAGCTCTCCTGGCGGGAGGGGCGCCGCAAAGGCCGGAGGGGGAGCAGCCCGACCTGCCCCGAGCGGGATCCAGAAGCCTCTCCCGAGGGATCCGGCGCCGATCCTTCCAGGGCGAAGTGAGACACGCGGAGAGACGCGGAGATTCAGCGAGTGGGAGGAGAGGGGCGGGGGCGGGGCTTCTACTCTCCTCCTGGGCTCCGCCCCCGCCTTACAGCCCCGCCCCTTAGCATCCTCAGAACCGCCCCCCTCCTTTCCCCTTTCCGCCTTCCCAGCCGGGACTCCCCGTTTCTCCGCTGGGCATCCCCCTCCTGGGTTCCTCTGCCCATGCGAAGAATGCACTGCTGTGCCCGGGCGGGGCTGGGTGAAAACTGAAGCTCCGCGATGGCTTTTTTTGGGGGGGGGGAGCCAGGAGCGACAGGAGCCCCCACCCCCCGGCTGGATGTTTGCGGAGCCCGACTGAGGACGGAGAGGGAGGGGCTGGTCCGGGGTCCCTTCCCCGGGGGGGGAGCCTCCCTGGGCGGGGGGGACATGCAGAAGCCGAATCCCAAAACACCTGCTCTTTCTTATGCTTTTCGCAGGCTACAAGGCCACAAAGATTCCAGGTCTCTGCAGCTGCCTCAAAGGCATTTTGAAAAATATTTAAAATTATGTAAGGCAGCCTTCTAGCCATCCGCTTGTTCTATTACCTGCTTTACAAGACCAGCCTCAAAACTTCCTTAGAACTTTGTATGCTTTGTAAACCGTCCACCAAGAAGAAGCTGCATCATCCCAGCCTCCTCGGGGCCAAAAAAGGAAAATATTGCTTTTTAGAGATTCACACAGCTTTTTAAAGCAGAAGCAAGGTAAACATTTGCATAAAACCAAATAATTTCCCTGCTGGCCTTTTAAGCTGAGCACAAAGAAGAGGATCTCACCTGGGTTAAGAAAACAGGAGCTCAATTCAGTCAATTTCAGCTTGTTTTCTTTCCCCCAATCCTTCCCCTCCGCCTTGCAATGAGGTCAATTGCCTTAACACCACATTACAAATCTCCATAAACGTTTTAAAGCTCCGCTTACTCCATTTTTGCGACTGCGCGTGCGAGGATATGCATGCTCGGAAACCTCGTGCTCTGACGGACCACAGAGAAACCTTCTGAAAGCAAAATCCCCAAAAGCTCCTTCCCGGATCCACCCGAAAGCCCCACGGGGAGCTTTGGCCGGGCGAGGAGGAGGCAGATCCAGCCCGGGGAGGGAGGGATCCCCTTTGCCCCCCTGGAGGGAAGGAGGGATCCGCTCCCTGCAGGCGACGCCAGAGCCGAATCTCCCCAAGGAAAACCCGGCAAGCCGAAGAGGCGGATCCGCAGCTACCTTTCTCCTGGCGGGGGGGGGGAGAAGCTCTCCTGGCGGGAGGGGCGCCCCAAAGGCCGGAGGGGGAGCAGCCAGACCTCCCCGAAGTAAGACCCAGAAGGCTCTGCCGAAGGATCCGGCGCCGATCCTGCCAGGGCGAAGCGGGAAACGCCGAGGGAAGCCGAGACCCAGCGAGTGGGAGCGTGGGGGCGGGGCTTCTGCTCTCCTGGGCTCCTCCCACACCTTACAACCCCGCCCCTTCGCAGCCTCAGCTCCTCCCCCTCCCTCCCCTCCCCTGCCTTCCCAGCCGGGACTCCCTATTCTTCCGCTGAGCACCCGCGACCGCGGTTCCTCTGCCCATGCGAAGAGTGCCCCGCTGTGCCCGGGCGGAGCTCCCGCCTGCTCCGGCATCTGGCTGGAGACTGAAGCTCCGCCGTGGCCGCCAAGGACTCGCGGAGCGAATTGCGAGGATTGCGGCGTTTCCCGCAGGCTGGAGAAGAGGGCGGGGGGGGGGAGGCGGACCCCGAGGAAGAGGAGGGGAAGGCAGGGGCCGCTCCAGAGGGTGCGGGGTCCCCTCCCACGGCCGAGGTTGGGGTAGCGCCTGGGGGAGGAACGGGAAGAAGCCCCGAGCGGATCCCTTCTGGATCCCGAAGATCTCCAAGTCCAGCTGCGCAGGTGGCCAGGAGAGAACAGACGGGGGGGGGCAAAAGAGAGTCCACCCAAGGCCCCCCCACCGCCCCCTCTGCCTTCCCCTCCCTTCTGCCCAGAATCGGAGAGAGGGGCTGGGGATGCTGGGTCCCTGCTTCCCTCCCTCCCCTGCTGGGCTTCGGGATGCCCCGTTTTCACCCAGTGAGTTATAAACTGTAGGGCCCTGAGGGGACCCCTTCTTCCTCCCTAGCCCCCCCATGTTGTCCCCAATTCGGGTCTGAGCCTGGTGCTGAGGCTAATGAGGAACACCAGACACGAATTGCAAGTTTTGTTGTCTTTTATTGAAGCCCTCCAAGAAAAAAGGGTCCTGGGTAGAAAATGCCAAGGAACCCCGAACAATAGAATTAAGAAAGCTTTATACATTTTCACTAAAGCAGAAGGCGGGATAAGGTGGGATATATAAGAAATATCTAATAAACATTTCAATAATAATCTAACAATTATTCTGTTGGTCTCTAGCCGTCCCTATTCCTAAACCTTGGCTAATGAATGCTTCAGGAGTTATCTCATACACATCCTATTTGCTCTGGGCCATCTCTTTTCCTGCAAAATGCCTAACTCTTCATTCCTTTTATCAGCTCTCTAACCAGCCAGAATTGTTACAACCTTTACACGTGCCTATTTCCTGTGAATAAGCTTTCACTTTTGAACTTTTGAATATATATTAAACTTATTTGAACTCTTCAAAAGCTTCAGCCATTATCAAATTTAGCTGCCTTTAGCTGCCTTCAGAACAGATCACCGGCCTGGAGGCTGCAGAGTTGTTGGATCACAACTCCCATCAAGTCCAGCCGGCAAGACGTTATGGGAGTAGAAACCCAGCCTAACACACATCTGGAGGATTTCATTTAGTGAATGCTAGCAAGCCTCCTTGTGGCAAGACAATCCCTGGAACCACAAGCCAAGGAACACAACGTTAAGCGCCTGTATATAGAATGTAATTTTATTTACTCTGCAGTCCAAATATTTCTCTTTCTGAAATACGAAAATAATTAGAAGCATTTAGAGCAGCACCTTTACATGACTGCCATTTGCCAACTTCTGTGCTGCCTTCCCCAGAAAGTCAAAGGGGAAGCTGGCATGGAAGACTGCAAGTCGCTGGATAGTGTCTTCCACTCAGATCCCCTCCCCTGACCCCTCTGCACTTATGCTGGGCCAGCCACTTCTGGAGTCCCTATTGCCCACATCCTGACCCACATGATCCTCACTCCCCCATGTCCTCTCCCTGTCCTGTCTCTCCTCTCCTGCTGCCATGCCACGCCTCTTGACCATTTTGCCCTCTCGCACACTCACCCCTGCCATGCACACCCTTCCTGACCCTCTCCCATGATCTGGGACACTCTTTGTGCCCTCTCACACAGGGCAGGAGATGCTTTGCTGCTGTGGACCTGGGACTCACAACTTCCTGCCCAGTTTCCCCACTGACTCTGTGGGAAGCTTGCAGGAAGTCGCCCCATCAAATGAGTGTGGGATTCAACCAGGACTGCAGGGATTATCATCACTGTGCCGTGCAGTCAGAGGTTTTCGACGGCATCGTTTAAGGATGGAAACTCCAGTTCCAAATGCGGCCGTAAATGGAACACAGGCTGTGGCTTCTTTTCTTGCTAGCAAGCGTGAAGATCGAGACAAAGGAAGAATAATGAAATAAGTAAAGAAGAATTTTCCATTTATCAAACAGACAAGAATTTTAAAAGAACATTTTTAAATATTCTTAGAGTTCCTGAACATCTGAGCAGTTTCCATCCACTTTGACTTTCTTTGCTAGAAATACAGGAGTGGCTAGAACTTTGCTTTCAACGTTTTTTATTTTCAGCTACAGAATTTGTCACAAATGAAGGCGAATATACATTCTATACATGTGTCAGAATCCAATTATATTTCATCTCTAGTTATCAATTATAGAAAACCTCATTTCTGCCTTCTCTGGATTCTGTCATACAAGGAAGGGAAGGGGGTGAACAAAGGGGCTTTATGGCCCTCACTTCCTTCGGTACAACTTCAAAGGGATTGAATGTGGATAGCACCAAAAAGACCTAATCAGAACAAAGGGGACTATTACCTTTCATGTAGTTTTCTCTGAAGTCTCCATCCAGCCGGCAGTAAGGAAATAGGGGGTGGGAATGTAATGCCTGAGATTGTTGCTGGAAGTAGGGGGGGATTGGGTGGGGCTACTGGGAAACCCCTTAAAACCTTGCATGGGAGAGCTTGGACCCCAAGTCCTGTCTAGAACGCCTGCAACCATTTTCTCTTAATAAAGGATTCCTGTTGGAAGAATTATTCCAAGAGTTCTGTCTTCTTAAGATGCAAAGTGGGGTGGGGCCTTACAACATGTCTATATGATAATGACCTAAAAGCCAGCCACCAACACACCAGAATCCACATTCAAAAAGCCAAAAAATGATGTAACCACTTTATGGCCACTTGGCAACCGTATGGCTTTTAATACCACCTGCGTGATCCTACAGCCATAGGATCCCAATTGTTTTTTTGTTTTTGTTTTGCTAGTTCCTGGCATTGTTTTTGCCACTTTTTATATATATATAAAAGACATTTAGAAGAATGGCTTTATACTTAGGATTACAGTGACTTGCTTAATGACCAGAAATATGTCAGAAAATCGGCTCCAATATATATGGGTGCCTCGACTAACAACCGTAACAACTTATGACCAGAAATCTGTTCCCAATTGCGACTGTAAGTCGAGACTAGCTGCACTCCGCAAAACATTATCTACTCTGCCCATCACTTATAGCTCTTTTCTCTTGTGCAATCACTCTGTTAAGGTACTAGCACTGCTGCTTTGTGTGCCAAACTTTCTAACACTCCCAACATAGATGTAGTTTTCTTTGATTTTGGTGTTTAAGGCTACTTGAGTAGGAAAAACATTTTTCCCAATAGTAGGATTTCCTTTCTGCCACTGTGTGATGTTCCTGGTTAATGTTAAGATGTGACTTTTGAAAAAGAAATGTTTTCAACGTTCACAGCGGAAGAGGTTTATCTCTGCTATGGACATTCGGATTCATTTTTAACTCTGATGTACAATGAAAAGCTTTCTCACACTCTACACACTTATAAGGCCACTATCCTGTGTGATATCTAGTATGTATGCGAAGTGACGAAGGATGGGCAAAACATTTCCCACACTCCAGACATTTGTATGGTTTCTCTCCAGTGTGGATCCTCTGATGGATAACAAGAGTATCTTTCCGAGAAAAACATTTATCGCACTGCGAGCATTTATGGGGCTTCTCTCCCGTATGGATTCGGCTGTGGCTTCTGAGGGAAGACGCGTCAGCAAATGTTCTCCCACACTCTAAACATTTGTAGTTTTTTTCCCCTGTGTGTATTTTCACATGACTTTTAAGGGCGGATGAGGTACGATAGAATCGTCCACATTCATTGCATTGATGTGGCTTCTCCCCTGTGTGGGTTTTATGATGGATCCAAAGATCTCCCTTTTGAGTAAAACACTTTCCACATTCTACGCATCTGTACGGCTTCTCTCCTGTGTGGAGCCTCTGATGCGTTCCAAGGTGTTGTTTTTGTGAAAAACATTTCCCACACTCCCCACATCTGTAAGGTTTTTCCCCTGTGTGGATTCTCTGATGAATCTGAAGCACTCCGAGGAAACTAAAACTTTTCCCACACTCCCCACATTGATAGCGTAACTCTCCTTTGTGCCTCTCCTCGTGTCTCCGAAGTTCAGAAGAATACATAAATCGTTTCTCACATTCTGGGCATTCATAGGGTCTGTCTCCGGTGTGAAGTTTCTGATGTCGCACCAGGTGTGATTTCCTGAAAAAACATTTCCCGCATTCGAGGCACTTTTCATTTTTCTCTCCTCTGTGCGTTTTCTCATGAGTCCGAAGAGTTGAACTCCGGGTGAAACATTTCCCACACTCAAAGCATTTGTACGATTTTATTCCTGCATGAACCTTCTCATGGACCCAAAGACTTGAGTTCTGAGAAAAGCTCTTTCCACATTCCCAACATTTGTAAGGCTTCTCCCCTGTGTGAATTCTCTCGTGGTTTCTGAGGGTGGCTTTGTGACAAAAAAATTTCCCACATTCAAGACACTGATAGGGTTTCTCTCCCGTGTGGATTTTCTGATGTGTAAGAAGACTTGACTTTTTACCAAAGCATAAGTCACATTCCTCACATTTATGAGGTTTTAGTCTGGGGGGGCGTCTGAGATTTTCCATGTGTTTTCCGGAGAAGGATTTCTCACCCTCCAAACCTTGACTGGATCCACTTCCCACATGGACCTTCCTATGGGTCAAAAGGAGGGACTGGCGAGCAAAGGACTTCCCACACTCTGAGCATTGATGGGTTTTTTTGTGGTTTTCTGGAGTGCTGCCTGTGTCTGACGGGGCATCCAAGAGTTTCCCACCCTTCATTCTTTCTGTCGACTGCTGCCTTGTGCTGATTTTCTGTTATCTGTTGATAGTTGACTTGCAGTAAATCTTTGGTTACAATCTTTTATCTGCTGTTAGAATAAAAAAGAAATCAAGAATAATATTTTCTTCTGAGAATGGTAGAGAATCACAAAATCTCAGCCTTGGAAGGGACCTTGAAGGTCCTCCAGTCCCACCCTCTGACCAGGGTAGGGTCCCCAGTACACCCAAGACAGTGATGGAGGCCCTACATCTGTAGGAGAGATGTCCTCCACTTATGACCACAGTCGGGACTGGAATTTCAGTTGTTCAGTGAAGCAGCGGTTAGGGGAGGAGTCACATGATCTCTTGGATCCACAAATATAATCCCACACTGCTGGTTGCAATTATTAAGTGATCTTGAGGATTCTTGAGTGGGGGGTGGACCAGGCAATGGTGGTGGGGGAGGTCCTTGAGACCAGGTATAGGCCACCCATGAGTTGGTGTTTTTTTTTTCCTGAAGTGAGATATAAAGCTGCAGCCATCCCTGGAAGCCTGCGTTATACCCCTACAGCCATGAAAAGCAGCCCTGATTGACAACAATGCTGGGACTGCGTCTTAAGTGGAGGCCTGGCGCCCTCAGCTATTTCAGCCATCTGCCACTGACCCCAGGACTGGACTTCAGCCCACTGTCCCCGTTGCCACTGAGAAATGAGGCCTTAATCTCTAAAGTGGAGGCCTTTGCAGCCTTGCGACATTTTCCAAGCCGCATGTTCCATACTGTTGCTAAGCAACGTGTCCCAAAGCATCTCTAACCTTCTTCAGGGCCCCTTCAACTTCCACATTTCCTGTGCCAGGACTCACAGGGCCTCCCCTGCCCACCTCAGGCAACCCCACATTCCTTAATTGGAACTTTACCTGTTTGTGAAGTAGCTTAACAACCACAAGTGCAGGATTGCAATCGTTGAGTAAAGCGGTCACATTCTTGTGGTAAGTAAAAGAACTTAAAAAAAATAAAGGACTTTTACGAATTCCAAGGGTGAAACAGAGGTTTATTTTTGCGCAAAGATTCAGAAGTGATTAACAATCAACAAATTTCTGAACAAGGGGGAGGGTCCAAACTACAATCTTTATAGCTCTCCCTCCCTAAGGAACAAAGGGGCATAGATGGAATCTTACACTGTATAATTTTCAGTTAGTTTCTCACAGGCATACAATGAATAGGAGGTTTCACTTTTATACAATGTTTCTCAATACGCATTAGGTCATTACAGCTATTGCTAACAGCTTTTTCCCAGGAATTATGCAGACACATCATTTTGCTTTTAGTGATTTCTTTCATTATCATTATTATTATTATACTTATTCATTTTTATTCTATGTTATTCTATTTCTTTCCACTTTAGTGTGACATCTCACTTAATGGCCGCTTCTCTCAAAGACTGAGATTCCGGTCTGAATTGTGGTCATAATACGAGGAGTACCTATAGGGAACCCCCAAAATTAAGGCATCGCATAAGCAAGGGAGGAGGGAAGAGAGTTCGGATTAGTGTAAGCAACCCATTCCCGATTCCCTTTTTCCTCACTTTTTCCAATTTTTGCACCATTGAGCTCCATCCCATCATGACATCTTGATCCCAGCTTCCTCGTCACACATACATTTTATAAAATACTACAAGAAAGAAAAAAAATGGACCCAGGAAATTATAGACCAGTCAGACTGACTTCAATACCTGGGAAGATCCTGGAAAATACAATCGAGCAAAGAATCTGTGAAAACGTAGAAACCATTAAAGCTATTACTAGAAACCAACATGGGTTTGTCAAAAACAGATCATGCTAGACAAAACATAGTTCTCTCTTTGACAAAGTGACTAAAGTGGCTAAAATAGTGGAATAGTGGACATACCCCCATGTATCCCCGGAAAGAAGACCCGGTCTTATAGGTTTTTTTTGCCTCCAAAAGAGGCACCAGGTCTTCTTTTCAGAGGATGCAGCCATTTACTCACCATTAAAATTGCAGCTAAGAAACCTCAGGGTCAGTTGTTCCCCCTCTGAATCAACACCAGGGATGACCCTCACTGCTGACCGGTTTGATTTCTCCATAACCGATTGGCAGCTGCTTTCCTGCTGTTGGGACAAGAAAGAAGATGAGAACAGTATTTCCTTTCGAGAAACATAGAAAATCACAAAATTGTTGGGGACAGGATGCTGACATTTGTAAACTGCTCAGAGAGTGCCATAAAACACTTCGTTTCTAAGTTTTCTATTATCTGTGGATAGTTGGTTTACAGGTAAATCTTTGGTCACAGCTGCTTTCCTGTTGGTGGAAGAGAAAAGAAGCAGAGAATATATTTCCTTTTGAGATTGATAGAGAATCACAAAATCTTTGCCTTGGAAGGACTTCCTGGGGTCGGCATTTCGAAAAATATGTTCTGATATCAGATAACAAGACCAAGCTCACAATCTCTATAAAACTTGTCCTTTGTAAAACATCCATCAACAAAGAATATCTGAAGAACAATGATGAAGATGCACTGAAATTAGTATATCAGGAAGGCTTACCAACTGCTGGAGAGACCAAACTGGCCTACAAGAAAGACCAAATGAAGAACAGAATAGAGGCATGGAAAGACAAAGCACTACATGGCCAATACGTGAAAAAAATAGCTGGGAAACCAGATAATAATAAAACCTGGCAATGGCTAAGAGCAGGAAAATTGAAGAAACAGACCGAGGGACTAATTCTGGCTGCACAAGACGAAGCCTTAAGGACAAATGCATACAAAGTCAAAATTGAGAAGACAGCAACAGACAGTAAGTGCCGCCTATGCAAAGAAGCTGAAGAAACAGTGGACCACTTGGTAAGCTGCTGCAAGAAGATTGCACAGACTGACTACATGCATCGGCATGACAAAGTAGCAACCATGGTGCATTGGAAGATCTGCAAAAAATATCATTTGCCTGTAAGCAAAAACTGGTGGGATCATAAAATAGAGAAAGTCATAGAAAATGATAAAATTAAACTGCTCTGGGACTTCAGAATTCAAACAGACAAGCACCTGCAACATAACACCCCAGACTTAACAATTTCGATAAGAAAGACAAAAAAGTCTGGATAGTGGACGTGGCAGTGCCTGGAGATAGCAGAATAGAAGAGAAAGAACTGGAGAAGATAACAAAATACAAAGACCTACAAATAGAAATAGAAAGACTGTGGCAAAAGCAAGCAAGGGTAGTACCAATAGTAATAGGCTCCTTGGGTGCAATCCCAAAACAACTGGAGCACCACTTGAACACCATTGGCATTGACAAATTCGCTATTAGTCAATTGCAAAAGGCAGCCTTATTAGGAACTGCTTCCATCCTGCGACGATATCTGTAATACCATCAAACATCCACATCTGCCTATCCCAGGTCCTGGGTAAGGACTCGATAGGTAGACAAAATGCCAAATCCAGTCTGAACATCTGGCTGACTGTGCGATGATCCATAATAATAATAAAGTTGGAAGGGACCTTGGAAGTAATCTAGTCCAACCCCCTGCTCAGGCAGGAATCCCTATACCATTTCAGACAAATGGTCGTACAGTCTCTTCTTAAAAACTTCCAGTATTGGAGCATTCCCAGTTTCTGGAGGCAGGTTGTTCCACTGGTTAATTGTTCTAACTGTCAGAAAATTTCTCCTTAGTTCTAGGTTGCTTCTCTCTTTGGTTAGTTTCCATCCATTGCTTCTTGTCTTGCCTTCAGGTGCTTTGGAGAACAGCTTGACTCCCTCTTCTTTGTGGCAGCCCTTGAGATATTGGAACACTGCTATCATGTCTCCCTTCGTCCTTCTCTTTATTAAACTAGACCAGGGGTAGGCAACCTTGGCTCGTCTATGACTCGTGGACTTCAACTCCCAGAATTCCTGAGCCAGAATGGCTGGTTCAGGAATTCTGGGAGTTGAAGTCCACAAGTCATAAAAGAGCCAAGGTTGCCTACCCCTGAACTAGACATACCCAATTCCAGCTTTGCTGGGTGAATTGCTTATATAATCAAAGAAGGTAGAAAAATAAGGCTTTTCTGATATTTGGGGCTTTTTCTCTTTTTAGAGAAGCTTGTCTTTGTTCAGATGAATAAAAACGTAACGCTTGAAGGCAACTTCTGGTTTCCTGTATTGTTTATCAAGCAAAACCTCAGAACTTGCACATCAGTCCACTAGGACTCTGAGATCCCTCTCACGGTTACTACTATTGAGCAAGATACCCCCTAATACTGTACCTGTGCATTTGGTTTTTCTTGCCTCAAGGTAGAACCTTATAGTATATAGTATATGAACAAAGATTATTCATTCCTCTTTTTTTGGATTAAGCAGAAAGAAAAAGGATCTGACATGATAGCTTTGTTCCCATATTGAAGGGGCTGCCACAAGGGAGCAGAGGTTCAACCTATTCTCCAAAGCTCCTGAAGGCAGGACCGGAAGCCATGGATGGAAATTAGGAGACATTTCCTGAAAGCCAGAACAATGAAGCAGAGGAACAGGCTGCCACCAGAAGTTCAGGGTGCTGCATCAGTGGAGGCTTCAAAAGAGACTGGAGAAGGCTTCTCTGTAATGTTAGGGGTTCTCCCGCCTGAGCAGGGAGGTGGGCTAGAAGGCCTCAAAGATTCTTTCCAGCTCCATTATTTTGTTATTCCGGTATCCTTTTTGGGGTTGGGAGAACATGAGCTCAGTTCAGTCATAAAGAACCTGTAACACTCCAGGCCACTTTGGAGACTCGCCAGGCCTTCAGAGGCCCCTGGAAGCCCCAATGTGGAGCCTCTGATAAGCCCCCAAGGCGCTTCCTGCCCTTTCTGGAGGCGGCAAGGAATCCAGGACGTTTTCTGGCCTCCAGTGAAGCAGAGCTGTCTGGGTTTATAAGCATTGCTAAAAACATTGACAATTATGTAAGCCTTTAACAATTAATTTAAACAATTCAATGTGTTCTTCCTTACAATATTTCATAATCAATAATGTACAAGCCAAGTATTTATTTAACAATGAATGGAAATAATTTATTCTTCTTTGTTATAATTTTCAAAGTGGGTGGGATGGGTCAAAGAGGGAATTCTGAATTTTTGACACTCAATCAGTGGCTCAATTCAATTTCTTTCCCTAACACCCCCCCCCCGCTCCCCCCATTGAAATAAGGTCAGGCTGTGACAAGATCACATTCACAATCTCAATAAACGCTTTAAAGCTACACTTCGCTCCCTTTTCAAACGGCACTCGAGGGAAACGGATGTTCAGAGGCTTCCTGTTCAAACGGACCAGAGAGACCTTCAGAAAGCAACTTCCCCAAAAGCTCCTTCCCGGATCCACCCGGAGCCCCGCGGGGAGCCTTGGCCGGGGAGGAGGGGGCAGATCCAGCCCGGGGAGGGAGGGATCCCCCTTTGCCCCCCCGGAGGGAAGGGAGGGATCCGCTCCCTGCAGGCAACGCCAGAGCCGAATCTCCCCAAGGAAAACCCGGCAAGCCGAAGAGGCGGATCCGCAGCTACCTTTCTCCTGGCGGGGGGGGGAGGGAAGCTCTCCTGGCGGGAGGGGCGCCCCAAAGGCCGGAGGGGGAGCAGCCAGACCTACCCCGAGCGGGATCCAGAAGCCTTTCCCGAGGGATCCAGCGCCGATCCTTCCAGGGCTAAGTGAGACACGCGGAGAGAAGCGGTGATCCAGCGAGTGGGATGAGAGAGGCGGGGGCGGGACTTCTACTCTCCTCCTGGGCTCCGCCCCCGCCTTACAGCCCCGCCCCTTAGCAGCCTCAGCTCCTCCCCCCTCCCTTCCCCTTTCCGCCTTCCCAGTCGGGACTCCGTGTTTCTCCGCTGGGCATCCGCCTCCCGGGTTCCTCTGCCCATGCGAAGCGTGCCCTGCTGTGCCCGGGCGGGGCTGGGTGGAAACTGAAGCTCCGCGATGGCTTTTTTTTTGGGGGGGGGAGCCAGGAGCGACAGGAGCCCCCACCCCCCGGCTGGATGTTTGCGGAGCCCGACTGAGGACGGAGAGGGAGGGGCTGGTCCGGGGTCCCTTCCCCGGGGGGGGGGAGCCTCCCTGGGCGGGGGGGACATGCAGAAGCCGAACCCCAAAACACCTTTACCCGCCCCCCTCCGTCCCCCCCTCTGCCTTCCCCTGCCTATGGATCCCTCCAGGTGTTTTTTTGGGGGGGGGTCTCTACCGGCATCGCCTCCTCCACACCCGGGCCTGATCTTCGCCCAAGTGCAGTTTTGCTGCCTCTTCCCTCGCTTCCTCCTAAACCATCATCCTCGTGTGTGTGTGTGTGTGTGTGTGTGTGTGTGTGTGTGTGTGTCACAACAGACGCAGCCAGTTCTGGCAATCTTGCCCACATCAGATTCTGAGCTTAATAAAGCGAGGTCTATTTTGGATTCACCCGATATTAATCCTCCAGTTAAATAAATCTGAAGTTGAAAAGGGCACCTGGATAAGCCCTGGTTAAAGGAAACTTAGATGTTCTCGATTATTCTTGTCCTGGCTCCATCCGGTCCCTTCAGCTTCCCTCCAGGGTCTCCCCCCCCCACTCCCCAAGGGTCCTCGGAGTGGTCAGGAGGGACAGAGAGACCGAGCAGGTGGCTCCTGACAGTGGCAAAGGGGTTTCAGCTTTTTCCCATCTTTTCCTTTTTTCTTCCTCCTTTTCCTCCTCTTCCTCAACTTACCATGTCACTTAACAACCGTTCCAAATTGTGACAAGTGTCAATGGCCATAAAGCAATTGTGGCCATTGTAACATTTTGCCCTTTCTCAAGGTTAGGTAACTAAATCATGGCCACTTGGCAACCGGTTCCCTTTTATGACCATGAAGAACCAAGATCTTGCAGCCACGGGGTCACAGTGGGCAACATTTTTGTCAGGTTTTTTTTTTTTTTTGTAGAAAATGCTAAACGGATGTTCAGAGGCTTCCTGTTCAAACGGACCATAGAGACCTTCTGGAGCAACTTCCCCAAAAGCTCCTTGCCGGATCCACCCGGAGCCCCAAGGTTTGGAGGGTGAGAAACTGAACCTCCGCAATTGATTTTGAGGGGGGAGCGAGGAGCGACAGGAACCCCCAACCCCCCCAGCTGTTTGCGGAGCCCAACTGAGGATGGAGAAGGAGGGGCTGGTCTGGGGGGTGTGTGGAGAAGCTGAGTCCCCAAATGCCTTTACCTGCTCCCCTCCATCCCCCCCCTCTGCCTTTCCCAGCCTATGGATCCCTCCAGATGTTTTTGGGGGGGGCTTTACCAGCATCGCCTCCTCCACACCCGGGGCCCGGATCTTCGCTGCCTCTTCCCTAGCTTCCTCCCAAACCATCCTCCTCCTCTCTGGGGGGGGGGGTTGTCACAAGAGACGGAGCCTGTTATCTCTACCTTTGTTTGCTTACATCAATTCAAATTTCTCCCAACCCTTTTCTCCTCTTTGCTCTTCCGCTTGACTAATCCCTTAATCCAGAGGTCCTCAACCTTCCTAATGCTGCGACCCTTTAATACAGTTCCTCATGTTGTGGTGACCCCCAACCACAAAATTATTTTCGTTGCTACTTCATAACTGTAATTTTGCCACCGTTATGAATCGTCATGTAAATATCTGATATGCAGGGTGTATTTTCATTGTTTCAAATTGAACATAATGAAAGCATAGTGATTAATCACAAAAACAATACGTAGTTCTATATTGTGAAATATTTATTTCTAATTTACAAATAAATGAAATTTTGTCTTGAAGCATGGTGTAGCATGGGTAACAGTCTTAATATAACAACAGTAAACTACATTGCTACATTTTGCGACCGTATGCGTAAAAAGCCAACGTCAGTGCGAAGGTTGAGATTGCTTCTTTCTCACCAGATCTGAAATTCTCGGGGCAGTCTTTGCAAGAGCACAACGAAGATCCTCTTCCACAACAAGTCTACTTCTGTAGTTAGACTTGATAACCAACAAGCTGGAAAACCCTGTTTCACAAAGGTATGTTGTTGGAAATGGAAGAAGAAGGCGCAACACAGTCTCAGACAGAACAGGATATGACTGCAAACACTTGATCCAGAATTTTGTAACTGGCATTGTAGAGAAATCAGTTCTCGCTGCATCGCTGTTAATAAGTTCAATGAACTCCTCTTGTGCTGTCTCAGGAACATTTTCAACTTCGACTGTGAATGGGCTGCTGGCAAGTGCAAAGGGGGTGTCGGGTAGATTTGGAAAGTACGATGAAATTTCGTCTGCAAGCACGTGCAAGTGTTCTTTCACAGAAATGATCATCGTAATCCTTTCGTCTGGTTCAATGTCATGTTCCTCAAAGAAAGCAGATAAGGTAGGCAACATGTACATTTTATTTTCATCCAATTTTGTTTGCCAAAGCTGAAGTTTCATTTGGAATGATCGGATCTTTTCAGACAAATCGAAGCACGTTGCATTTGGTCCTTGCAGTGATAAATTTAACTCATTCAAGATGGCAAAGATGTCAACCAAGTAAGCTATTTTCTGCAGTTCACTTTTATCGCTGAAAAGTGCTTCGAACTGCGGTCTTGCTTTCTGATTAAAAAACGTTTTGAGTTCATCGCGAAGCTCAAAAACACGTTTTAAAACTTTTCCTCTCGACAACCATCTCTCTTCAGTGTGAAATAGCAGAGCATTGTTCGGCGCATCCAACTCGTTGCACAGTTGCGAAAACAGTGGACTGTTTAAACTGCTCGCCTTTACAAAATTGACAGAACTTATGACGCTTTTCATTACTTCTTGTAACTCTTGTGGCAGCGTCTTTGTTGCTAATATTTGCCGATGAATCATACAGTGAGTTCCGATGACTTTTGGTGACTCATTCAGTACCAAACGCTGAAATCCAGATCGACATCCAAGCATAGCTGGAGCACCATCTGTGCAAACACCACAAACCTTTTCCCAAGAGATCTTATGCTCTTTCAGAAATGAACCAACTGTGTCAAATACATCACGTGCAGTAGTTGTCGTTTCAAGAGGTTTGCAAAAAAGAAACTCATCTTTAAAGTCGCCATCATTAATATACCTCACGTAAACCAGTAACTGTGAACAGTTTGCAACGTCTGTAGATTCATCAAGCTGGATACTAAATATTGGAAGTGGAGCAGATTTAATTTCTTGGATCACCTGATCAAGAATATCAGCAGACATGTCATCTATTCTTCTGCGGACAGTGTCGTTAGATAAGGAAATTGCACTCAATTTCATCACAAATTCGTCTCCGATCATAGTTCGAACAAGGTCTTTGGCCGCTGGCAACAGTAAATCCTCACCAATGGTGTAAGGTGTCATAACTCTGGCGATTCTGAGTGCCACCAAATATGAAGCTTCATACTCTGAAAAATCCCCACAATATTTTCTTTTCTTAACGTTCTTCCCTACACGATCCATTGTCATGGGATGGTTTTCTAATGAAAATAATATATAACAATAGCTTTAATAATACAAAAGATGATACATGGCATAGTTCAGTCAATACAGTTCATTAAAGTTTCCTATGATTTACTATTCTGTGTTGGTTTTTTTACATACCCGTTACTACCACAAGGGGGCAGTATTCACATCAACAACAGCTGAATATAAAAAGACCGATCAGCATCCAGATTAAGTTCCCATGGTACAGATTTTTTTTTTTGCAGTAGTTGATGATTTTACAGTACATAATTTTACATTTACCCAGTAATTATAATTCATGAAGTGTTGTCTTACCTCCAATACTGCTGCTTTCAACACAGCAGCTGCATTCTACACAGCAACTGCATTCTACACAGTAGCTGCTCTCTACACGTGTGACTGGTCCGCATAAGTACATTATGGCGCCAACCCTGTCACATACACCTGTATTTATACAGGGTGTATGCGATGGGGTTGGCGCGATGATGTCATCATGCCGGGTACTCGTATGTGGGCGTATCTGCATGTGGGCGGACCCGCCTGGACACAGATAGAGGAGCGGTGTCTCGATTCCTAAGACCATCGGAAATATGTGTTTTCCGATGGTCTTAGGCAACCCCTGTGAAAGGGTTGTTCGACTCTCAAAGGGGTCGCGACCCACAGGTTGAGAACCGTTGATCTACAGGGTTTTAGTCTGGGGGGGTTTCTGAGACCTTTGATGTCTGTTCCAGAGGATTTCTCACCCTCCAAATCTTGACTGGATCCACCTCAAACATGGGCTTTCCTGTGGGTAAAAAGCAGTGATCTGCAAGGAAAGGATTTCCCACACTCTGAGCATTCATGGGTTTTTTTTGTGGTTTTCTGGAGTGCTGATTCTGTCTGAGGGGAGATCAAAGAGTTTCCCAGGCTCCATGCTTTCCGCTGACTGCTGCCTTGTGTTGATTTTCTATTATGTGTTGAATTCCAGATAAAGCCGAGGTGGCACAGCAGTTAGAGTGCAGTACTGCAGGCCACTTTAGCTGACTGTGTTCAGCAGGTCAGCGGTTCAAATCTCACCGGCTCAAGGTTGACTCAGCCTTCCATCCTTCCGGGTAGGTAAAATGAGGACCCAGATTGTTGGGGGCTATTTATATATATATATATATATATATATATATATATATATATATATATATATATATACATTGCTTACTGGTGTACACGGCTTAGAGAGTGCTTGCGCTTAAAGTGGTATATAAGTCTCATAAATAAATAAATAAATCTTTTGTTACAATAGTTTATCTGCTGTTAGAATAAAAAAGAAATCGAGAATAATATTTTCTTCTGAGAATGGTAGAGAATCACAAAATCTCAGCCTTGGAAGGGACCTTGAAGGTCCTCCAGTCCCACCCTCTGCCCAGGGTAGGGTCCCCAGTACACCCGAGACACTGATGGAGGCCCTACATCTGTAGGAGAGATGTCCTCCACTTATGACCACAGTCGGGACTGGAATTTCAGTTGTTCCGTGAAGCAGCGGTTAGGTGAGGAGTCACATGATCCTTTGGATCCACAACCATAATCCCACACTGCTGGTTGCAATTATTAAGTGATCCTGAGGATTCTTGAGTCAGGGGGGGGAGGACCAGGCAATGGTGGTGGGGGAGGTCCTGGGGACCAGGCATAGGCCACCCATGAGTTGGGGGGTTCCTGAAGCGGGATGCAAAGCTACAGCCACCCCTGGAAGCCTGAGCTATACCACCACAGCCATGAAAAGCAGCCCTGATTGACAACAATGCTGGGACTGCGTCTTAAGTGGAGGCCATCTGCCACTGACCCCAGGACTGGACTTCAGCCCACTGTCTCTGCTGCCATTGAGAAATGAGGCCTTAATCTCTAAAGTGGAGGCCTTTGCAGCCTTCCGCCATTCCCCAAGCTGAATGTTCCATATTGTTGCTAAGCAACGTGTCCCAAAGCATCTCTAACCTTCTTCAGGGCCCCTTCAACTTCCACATTTCCTGTGCCAGGACTCACAAGGCCTCCACTGCCCACCTCAAGCAACCCCACATTCCTTAACTGGGACTTTGTCTGCTTGTGAAGTAGCTTCACAACCACAAGTGCAGGATTGCAATCGTTGAGCAAAGCGGTCATGTGACATCTCACTTAATGACCGCTTCTCTCAAAGACTGAGATTCCGGTCTGAATTGTGGTCATAATATGAGGAATACCTATAGGGAATCCCCAGAATTAAGGCATCACATAAGCAAGGGAGGAGGGAAGAGAGTAAGCAACCCATTCCAGATTCCCATTTTCTCGCTTTTTCCGATTTTGGCACCATTGAGCTCCATCCCATCATGACATCTTGATCCCTGCTTCCTCGTGACACATAGATTTTATAAGATACTACAAGAAGGAAAAAAAATGGACCCGGGAAATTATAGAGCAGTCAGACTGACCTCAATACCTGGGAAAATCTTGGAAAAGACAATCAAGCAAAGAAACCAACAAAGCTGGTTTGTGCAGGAAGCTGATTCTCCAACTGGGCCATGATTTTCAAATTCTGTAGAACAGAGTCTGGGCCAAAAGTCTGTGGGTCCCGATCCAAGGACGCCCCTTTTCTTCTGTGGCGCTCACGGCCACATCCTCACTGGTCTCCTGCAAAGAGAAATGAGAAAGGCGCAGATGCTGAGCATAATCTATAAATGACCTGGAAACAGGAGGAGAATATGGAATTATTTGAGGATACAAAATAATGGAAAGAGAATCGTCATTTGAAGAAGATCTTGATGAGCCAAAAGGGAAGAAACCAGCAAGATGAAGTCCAACAGGGACCAATGCAGGGTTGTGAGTAGGAAAACTCAGTGGAAGATGAGAAATCAGATGGGGCAGAGCATGTGTGAGAAGGGGTTGCTCTTTCTTATGCTTTTTGGAGGCTGCAAGGCCACAAAGATTCCAGGTCTCTGGAGCTGCCTCGGATAGGCATTTTGAAAAATATTTAAAATTATGTAAGGCAGCCTTCTAGCCATCCGCTTGTTCTATTACCTGCTTTACAAGACCAGCCTCAAAACTTCCTTAGAACTTTGTATGCTTTGTAAACCGTCCACCAAGAAGAAGCTGCATCATCCCAGCCTCCTCGGGGCCAAAAAAGGAAAATATTGCTTTTTAGAGATTCACACAGCTTTTTAAAGCAGAAGCAAGGTAAACATTTGCATAAAACCAAATAATTTCCCTGCTGGCCTTTTAAGCTGAGCACAAAGAAGAGGATCTCACCTGGGTTAAGAAAACAGGAGCTCAATTCAGTCAATTTCAGCTTGTTTTCTTTCCCCCAATCCTTCCCCTCCCCCTTGCAATGAGGTCAATTGCCTTAACACCACATTACAAATCTCCATAAACGTTTTAAAGCTCCGCTTACTCCATTTTTGCGACTGCACGTGCGAGGATATGCATGCTCGGAAACCTCGTGCTCTGACGGACCACAGAGAAACCTTCTAAAAGCAAAATTCCCAAAAGCTCCTTCCCGGATCCACCCGGAGCCCCGCGGGGAGTTCTGGCCAAGTGAGGAGGGGGCAGATGCAGCCCGGGGAGGGAGGGATCCCCCTTTGCCCCCCAGGAGGGAAGGGAGGGATCCACTCCCTGCAGGCGACGCCAGAGCCGAATCTCACCAAGGAAAACCCGGCAAGCCGAAGAGGTGGATCCGCAGCTACCTGTCTCCTGGCGGGGGGGGGAAGCTCTCCTGGCGGGAGGGGCGCCCCAAAGGCCGGAGAGGGAGCAGCCAGACCTGCCCCGAGCGGGATCCAAAAGCCTCTCCCGAGGGATCCAGCGCCGATCCTCCCAGGGCGTAGTGAGACACGCGGAGAGAAACGGAGATCCAGCGAGTGGGAGGAGAGGGGCGGGGGCGGGGTTTCTACTCTCCTCCTGGGCTCCGCCCCCGCCTTACAGCCCCGCCCCTTAGCAGCCTCAGAAGCTCCCCCCTCCCTTCCCCTCTCCGCCTTCCCAGCCGGGACTCCCCGTTTCTCCGCTGGGCATCCGCCTCCAGGGTTCCTCTGCCCATGCGAAGAGTGCCCTGCTGTGCCCGGGCGGGGCTGCCTCCTGCTCCAGCATCTGGATGGAAACTGAAGCTCCGCGATGGCTTTTGGGGGGGAGGCAGGAGGGACAGGAACCCCCCCCCCGTCCCTTCGAGGAGGGCTCCTCTCCGGCCGGGTCTTTGCGGAGCCCGACTGAGGGCGGAGAGGGAGGGGCTGGCCCGGGCTCCCTTCCCCGGGGGAGTCTCCCTGGGCGGGGGGGGATATGCAGAAGCCCCCAAATGCCTTTATCCCCCCCTCTCCATCCCCCCCTGCCTTTCCCAGCCTATGGATCCCTCCAGGAATGTTATTGGGGGGGGGGTCTCTGCCGGCATCGCCTCCTCCACACCCGGGGCCAGATCTTCGCCCAAGTGCATTTTGGCCGCCTCTTCCCTCGCTTCCTCCAACCCATCATCCTCTCCTCTGGACGGGGGGGGGGCACAAGAGACGCAGCCAGTTCTGGCAATCTGCCCACATCGGATTCTGAGGGCTGATAATGCGGGATCTCTTTTGGATCTTTCCCGACATGGGGGATTATTATTCTTCCAGTGAAATAAATGTGAAGTTGAGAAAGGCCCCTGGAGAAGCCCCGTCAAAGGACGCTTCCCTGCTGGTGGGTGAACCTCATCCTGGCTCCATCCGGTCCCTTCAGCTTCCCTCCAGGGTCTTCCCCCCCCTTCCCCGTCTCTCCCCAAGGCTTCTCCAGTGTGGGCGGGAGGGACGGAGAGACCGAGCAGGAGGGCTCCTTGCAATGGCAAAGGGTTTACTTTGGTTTTTTTTTTTTTCATTCTTTCCTCTTTTTTTCCTTCCTCCTCTTCCTTCCCCTCCCCGTGGGCGCTGTCACATTTAAGCAAACATAATTTCCAAGTTTCTTGTCATCTGTCAGCGTGTCCTTCCTCTCTTCTCCTCCCAACTCAGCCAGACTTTCACTTTCCTTCCAGAATTCCTTCTGGTTCCTGCCTCGTAAAAGCATTTCCTCCTCATTTGGCTTACGGAACAAGTATAACCTCAAAAAAACCACCAGGTAATCCTCGACTTAAATCTCATTTAGCGACCGTTCAAAGTTACATCGGCAGTAAAGAAAGTGACTTCTGACCGTTTTTTTTCACAATGAATCACATCATCCCCGTGATGGTGCGGTCAAACCATCATCCAGCTACTCCACTGTGCGCAAGCTCTGATGGCTAATTCTTTGAGGGAAGGTCTTCCCACCCTCTGGGTATTGACAGGTTGCTTCCCCCCCCCTCGGAAAGCTCTGTGCTGCCAAGACACCCCCTCCCTCCAAACTGCTTCTCCAGGTGCAGATTCCATCACAGGTAGAAAGGCGGAGAAGGGAAGCAGCCATTAACTCAGGGCTTTTCAACCTTTTCACCCACTGTACCACTTTTAGGATATGGCAACATCCGAGTACCACCAGTCACCTAGCAAGGTGTCAAAAACTTGATGACCAAAAAAAAAAAAAAGGGAAAAAAGTGATAAAGTACAGGTAGTCCTTGGCTTACAAAGGTTCGCTTAGTGACTGTTTGAAGTTACAATGGCATTGAAAAAAAGTGCCCCCAAGCCACAGCTGAGCAAGACACATACCTGCCTGCCCGGCTGCACTCTTCCTCCTGTCCAGGTTTTCATTGTTGTGAGCGTTTCTGTTGAGGATTGGCAGTGGGGGTGGGGTGGGGTTTGGTTTTTATTCCCCCCGTCTGCTGCGTGGTTGCAGCAGGTTTTGGTCACTTCGCATGACCCTGGGATACTGTGACCGTCATAAATATGAATCAGTTGCCAAGCATATGAATGTAAATCACAAGACCCTGGAGATGCTGCAACATTCCAGCTGATCGGCACTTCTTCTGGGCTCAGCAGAAGCACCAGGATCAGCGCCAAGCTCCAGCTGGAGACTGGTGCTGATCCTGGCACTTCCGCTGAGCCCTGACAGCCCTGCAGCTCCAGCCATCTCTCGCTCAGGCTTGTGCAGTGCTGCTACCGGTTCAGCTCATTCCCCTCCCCCGCTACCCCTTTTCTAGGATGGTCGCGTACCACCTGCCAGGTGCCAATGTACCACAGGGGGTACCCGTACCACTGGTTGAAAAGCCCTGCGTTAACTAACCAGGATCGAAGGCTGGAAAAGGAAGACGTTGTTGCAAAGAGATTTAAAGTTGCTTGCCTGTTTTCAGAAAGGAAAGAAAAAATGCCACCAGGCCTTGAAGCTGGATCTCAGTTCCTCAAGGGAGGCTAAATCAGGAAACAAAACCCAGAAGAATTCTAGAACTTCCTTTTATTGATGGAGGCTAGAGGAACATAAACCTAAGATCAGAACAGGGGTAGCCATGATATTCCCTGTGACCTTCTATGGAAGCGAAAATTGGACTTTGAAGCAGGATAGGAAGAGGGTAGACAGGTCTTTGAACTTTGGTGTTGGGGAAAACTCCTGAGATTATCACGGACAGCCAAGAAAACAGACAAATAGATCACACAAGAAATCAACCAGAATCCTCACTCTAGGCATAATAGACCCGGCTCAAACTGTCATCAATCAGAGAGAGGCTGCAACAATGTTTGCTTTAAGGAGAAGGCTCTGATGCTGGGAAAGATGGGGGGAATGAGAAGAAGAGGGCAACCGGGAGTGGATCCAGGCAAAGTGGCGATGGGGGATCCATTGGGGGACCTGAAGGATCCAGTTGGGGATAGAGATCATTCTGGAGAATATTTATCATGCAGTTGCTAAGAGTCGACATAGATTTGATGGCACAGAATAACCAAAACCTTTGGCCTATTTCGTCATACAGGTGGTCCTCATCTTACGACTACAATAGAGCCCAATTTTTTTTCTAAGGTTTTATTATTTTTTCCATACATACAATAATAATTTTTCAACCAACGTGTTATCTGAGTTTAAATACTCTAATACATATTTAGTTCCTAATCCTTTATTCTGTCCTCTAACCATCAGTAAAATAAGTCCCAAGTTTGATAATATTCTGTTTCTTCTTTTTCTTTCAATCTCATAGTCAATTTGATCACCTCTGCGCATTCTAGTATCTTTTTAATTATTTCTTCATCTGGTGATATTCCTTCATTTTTCCAATATTGCGCAAATATTATTCTTGCCGCTGTTGTGATGTGTAAAATCAAATATAGGCTTTGTTTGTTAGTCTTTTCTGGCATTATACCTAATTAAAAAAAAGTTCAGGTTTAAAATCTACATATTCTCCCAACATCTTTTCTAATCAAGCATGTATCTTTTTCCAATAATTCTTTACTTTATCACGTCCACCAAACATGATAATACGTGCCTGAGTTATGTTTACATTTCCAACATCTAATCTGACATAATTTTGAACATTTTTGCTAATCTTGCTGGTGGCAGGTGCCATCTATAAAACATTTTGTATACATTTTCTTTATATGAAGTGGACATTGTCAGTTTATAATTTCATTCCCATAAATTTTGCCATTTTTTCTAATTCTATATTATATCCAAATTTTTTCGCCCATCTTATTTATCATTGTTTCTTTAACTTGTTCGCTTTCCATTTCCAAAGTTATAAAAATACTCTGCATGCATCTTGTTCTGCCCAGGCTCTGAATCCAATCTAAACAGTCAGATAACTCGATAGAAATGATTAAACAAACATTTATTGTCCGGGAATTCTAAGCAGAGACTTACTATGCTGTAGATGCATCTGGTTTTCCATATTTGTTCATTCCTATAGATAATTTAATATTGAATTTTCCCCTCTTCTTCTGCTGAGAGTCACATGTTGGCAAAACACATGTGGCTGGATGAACAAAGGCTTCCATCTGGCTTGTGTCCAGGAAGTCCCCCAATGACCCTTTTTGACTCCTCCCACTGACCCATCAACATACCCAGCATTTAACCCAATAACTGCCAGATATTCTAACATACTAACACATGCTCCCTAGTTAAGAGTTACGTAGGTCTATGCTAAGTCCAGAACACATCTTGTGGTTTTTATCATGCGCTCAGCTCACAGGCTTGTGGTTTCTTATGGAACTTTCCACAACTCTAAAGGCCGGCTTAAGATTTGGACTTTAATGCTGTCATCTCAATGTTAAGAACCTTTTGACCAGTTAATCAGAACGATCAACATCCTGATCAACAGAAACGCTGAAATGAATCTTTGGAGTACCGAAGTGATACCTTTGAAACGTCTGCACTTCTCTCGGAGGGTCACAAATATATCTCCATTTTGTTTACTTAATTGGATGCTCCCCGTTCCCAGAGGGTGTAGGGAGGTTCCCTAAATTAGGTTTGCCTGGGGTTGATGGTTGAGACAAATCCCTTTGATTGTCCCTGGTGACCCCGTGGGGCTCTCCCAAGCTGCCTCCCCTTCCCCTTCAGTTCTCTGGCCAAGCGTTCTTTTCTCTTCTAAACTTTCTCTCCTGTTACGTGTTATATCTCTGCCTGTCCTGGCAGCACTGCACGGATGCCTGAAGGAGAAATTTCCCAAGAGATTTCGAAACACCTCCTTTGAAGCATAATCTGGCTCATGAAAAGGCTTGATACTGGAGATGATGATGATAATAATAATAAAGTTGGAAGTGACCTTGGAGGTCATCTAGTCCAACCCCCTGCCCTGGCAGGAAACCCTACACCAGTGGTGGCAAACCTATGGCACGGGTGCCAGAGGCGGCACTCAGAGCCTTCTCTGTGGGCACACGCGCCATTGCCCCAATCCTAGGCCTTCAGCTAGGTTTTATAAATCCTTTTCGTTTTAGGCCTCCGCCGTCACGTGCAAAAAAAAAAAGGTTCAATCAGTCAATTTCAACTTCTTGCAGGAAAAAAAAAAGATCTTGCAAAGTTGGAATTGATTGATTGAACTTTTTAGTCCCACCCAGTCTGCCGTTACCACCGCAGCCACACCCACCCAATGGGCCACACCCACCCAATGGGCCACACCCACCCAGCACTCGATGATGCATAAGTGGGTTTTGGGTTGCAGTTTGGGCACTCAGTCTCTAAAAGGTTCACCATCACTGCCCTACACCATTTCGGACAAATGGCTGTCCAGTCTCTTCTTAAAAACTTCCAGTGTTGGAGCATTCACCACTTCTGGAAGCAGGTTGTTCCATTG